TTTATTTATTAAAACACTGACAAAAACAGTGTAAACATCAATAAATCATAAGTATTAATATGGTACACCTACATTTTACTAAGCCACTTGTCTTGGTAGCTGAGTCTGACGAACTGCCCCCTGGAATCCCATCGACCACAGGTCGCCCTTTATTAAGGGACAGTGCCAGCTCCTCAGCTCCCTTCTTTCTATTGGCTACATAGAAAACTAAATTACATTTAATACTAAATTAGTATTAAATGTCAGTAACAAGTTTAGTAAGTTTAGAAAATATTACCTTGCTGGAGAATGTTTTTGTGTTTCATTTTGACTTGGCTCACACTTCTTCTGGCTCCAGAAGGATAACACCTGATAAAACTAGAAGCCAACATATAACTAGCCAATTATGTGCATTACTACTGTAATATTAAGAAATGTATGGAGGCCAACAAGTAAATACTTGTCTATTTTTACTACATGCCCCAAAGAATTTTTGCGTCACAAATTATAAATGGGGTAGGCTATTTTCCCCTTTCATTGTGACTCACAAAGGGAAAATACCCAATTTATAATTTTCTAAACTCAAGCATTTACTCTGTCCATTATTATTTGCCAAGCCAACTTTCTTTTGCTGATGCAGCAGTATTGCTTTTTTATTTATAATTTTTTTTATAATGGGCTTAGGCTATAGTCTTCATAAGCAAGCATTAAAACCTCCAACTCAGTTTCACCGAAGTATCGTATGTAGCTCGCTTTTTTTCTCCCTTGGTTTCCATGGTGACTCCTGAAATCGGCGATCCATTGAAAATGTCTTTATGTACTCGTCGTGCGCGCGCATTAACTCTGGGTTACCAATAGGAGGTTGATTAAACTAACTCAACATAGGTGTTTTGGAACTGACATAACCAGAGTAAGCAAGTTTGGGGTTAACCAACCAAGAGTTCAAGGTTTATCTGACGGTAAGTTAACCTTGCTTTCTGGAATACACCCCAGGTGTTCTCAGTATGCAGTGGTTATACCTACCAAAAGTGGTGCAAGGAAGGACAACCGGTGGACCAGCGTCAGGGTCATGGGCGCCCAAGGCTCATTGATGCATGTGGGGGCCGAAGGTCCGATCTCAACTGGTCCGATTACACAATATGTCAGAACACACAGTGCATTTTCACATACCCCTGGTTTCACAGATGAGGTTTAAGACTAATCCCAGACTAAAATGCATGTTTGAGCGGTTTAAACTGAAAGCAACTTGCACTCACAGATCTTAAAATATGTCAGTGTTATTATTTTGTCGCAAGATGCACACCACTAATGCTTATCATTTTTTCTAAGGCACGTTTATAAACTACTTAAATGTCCTAATTGAACGAAGGCCTAATCCTGGCTTAATCTGTGAAACCAGGCCTTCGTGTTACAAATGCCTGTAATTAATTCTTGTATAATTGAATTGAGTTATGCACGGTATGTAATTGGAAATAAACTACTTGTACTTTCATATTGTGCAGATGTAATATTAACATTACAATATATTAAAATAATAATTAGTACACCAAAATAATATTAAGACTGCACGCTAATGTTTATAAAACCACCTCCAGATGAACCTCAAAAAAAGTAAACCAAACCAAAACAAGAAAACGTTTTTTTTTTCTAAAAACAAAGCACGGTTTATTAAACATTCAGTAACAAACAAACAGCCCCTATGAATCCATTAAAACAATATTTCCGCAGATTTTACACACAGGCTTCTATACAATCCTTTTGCAGGGGTATATGCATGAAATAGAGATGCAATGAGCAGATCTGGCTTTATTCTTTAGAGATCTCCTGAGATGCTTTCCAAAGGAACTCGTTTGGGTGAAATCAAAATACATTCCGATTATTTTCACGTTGTTTGTTTCTGATGTGCTGAAATGAAACATGGCCCAACCCTGATGATGATGATATTACAGAGATTATTAATACAGAAGCTTTAAACAGCAGGAGCTGATGAGGTTAAACATGAGATTTAGCGATTGTCCCAATGCAGTATTCACAGGTTGTCATGCTGTAAAGTCTCTATACTGAGATACCGCTGTGTGATAATTCACTGGCCCTCACTGAACCCCTCTATTAGGCTTCCTTATTGATGGCGAATATGTGTATTTAGAGTGCATTCGCTGATATCGTCACTTTATCAACTGAAAGTGTTTACGCCTATGTGCTTCTGGCTGTCAAAGCTGATATGTGACTGCTGTGACAGTTTGACATATTACAAATCTGACTGCACACAGAACAATTATGTAGTCAAACATAAACGTATAACACATGAAAAATAGTTGGACATTCCTATAATGCATTAATGTGTTTAAGAATAATACATTAAATAAATGGGAGTAAAAGGCTTCTGGTGGTTTCTTCTTCGATTATGTGTGGGTATTTTGTAAAAATAAATAAATACAGTACTGTTCAAAAGTTTGGGGTCAGTAAGACTTTAAAAAAAAAATCAGCAAGAAACAATTCTATTTCAAATAAAAGCTGTTCTTTTTTAAACTTCCCATTCATCAAAGAATCCTGTCAAAAAAATCTACATTGATAATAATAAAAAATGTTTATTGAGCACTAAATCAGAGTTATGCGACACTGGATTGATAATGCTGAAAACTCATCTTTGCATCAAAGGACTGTATTACATTTTAAAATATATTTTAAAAATAGTTAATTTTGAACTGTATTAATATTTCACAATAGTACAAAGAAATGCAACCTTGGTGAGCAAAAGAGACTTCTTTCAATAACAATAAAAAATCTCATCAACCCCAAATCTTGAACGGCAGTGTAAATAAGTGCTGAAATGCTGAGGTTTAATAACTCAAATGACAATACTTTTTGAATATGAATTTGTTCAATTCATATTTTCTTTCTATTTTAAGACATTCAAAATCATCCTCATTATGCTAAATGACATCAATGATGACACTCATGACCCCATACTATGAAAACTGAATATATTACATTTAAACTGGTGGATGTTCTGTTATTTCTACATGCATGTATTTGTACAATAACCCGTCAAATATTCTACATTCTTTGAATCCATGAAAAATATATCTGCTGCAAGATGATGGACAACTACATTTCTCTTCACTCTTCACGCATTCTATCACATTCTGTCATCGTTTATTTACTCTCATGTCGCTCCAAACCAGTATTTGAATTTGAGAAGTATACTGATACTTATTGAGCTCCAAGTGCTAAAAGTATCATACAATTGAAGACCGTTCTTCGCCTAAAATCTTCCAAATGAAGCTCTTAAGTCATATTCATAAAACAGATAGTTCCGGTCCTTGATTATGATTGGTTGAGCCGAGTTTGAAGCCATTGTAAATGACTCTACAAACATACACCTGTGACCACATAACATCAGTATTACTGTGCCACTAAGTCTGTTGCTTGCCAAATATTCAGCTTCTGAAGAACTATATTGCTTGCTGGAAGATTTTTTTTTATCAATAGCATTACATATTTGTGCATTTTGTACATCCTATTGCAGTCTTTAATCTTGAAATCAGCTGATAAATAAAATGCAGTTCATATGTTGACGTGAACTCTGTTAAACTTGTATCTAGAGCGGGAATTGAAGATCGGGTTTATATTCGTTTTGTGAAGACACATTTATGTGGCCAAGTGTAAAAGGAACCGTTTGAACAAATCAGATAGCTATCCGATCAGTAAAAACACGTGAACAGGCTCATAGAGGTCAAACCTGATGTGCCATTTTCGAACATGTGTACACAAATGAGGTTTTTTTCATTTACTTAGCAGAAACATTCGTCAAAACATCCTTTTTTTGTTTTATTACATCTCGCAGGTCTGGAACGACACAAGTAAATGATGACAGAATTCTCATTTTTGGTTGAACTTTTCCTGTAAACTAGGGGCACACGATTAATTGCAATTAACATGGAAATCGCTCTTAACCGATTTGGATTATTGCGATTATGAGATCGCAAAGGCTGTGATTATTTTTTATGTGCAGCTTGTCAGTGAAGCACGGCTCTGTGATCAGTAGCAAATGCTGTTCCATCTGAAAGCACTGTGAGTTTGAGTCGCTTATAATGTGCATTTGAAAAAGCAACACACGTCAAACATCTTTACAAACATGAGAAGCTTTTATGAACCTCTTGTCCAACAAAAGACAACATTTAATAAATCAATCAAAGCATTTCAATCTTGTTTATTCAGCTACAGCGATAGTATGATGCCCATAAGTTTTTCCTGGAATGACGTGTGTTATCTGCTTCTGTTCTGCGGCGGGGCATATTTGGCGTGTCTGCGCGAGATGCCCTCTGGTGTTCAGAGGGATATGTGGTGTGTGTGTGTGTGTCTGAGGCCCCATCCACACTACTGCGTTTTAGTTTAGAAACGGATAATTAAAACGAATACGATCTCCGTCCACACCAGCGTTTTAGCTGCGTATTAGAATTGATCTCCGTCCACATTAAAACGACTGAAAACGCGGATCACGTGACCATTCACCAACACTGAGCATTCGCGTGCCGGTGTAAACACAACTTCATTGATAAAATTATCCCACCATGCTCTGGGTTAACCCCAAACCGACGCTCTATGTACGGTCAACGCCGCCGCCGCTGCACACGGGAATTGTCACAGATCGCTCGAATAATAGCTTGACTCCGGCGCATGTAGGCAGTTATAGCGTTGTAAAATGCAGAATTTACTTGTACAACAGCTGCTAGCAAAGATATACCCCATGACTGATGACACCCAATCATAGAGCTGAGCGTGAGCCTCTACTACGTCATCGTTTCTAAAGTCCTCCGTTTTGACCCGTCTACACTAAAACGCCCTCCGGAGATTCAAAACGAAAAACGGATCGGCAGCGTTTCTAAACTTCTCCGTTTTGGGTCTCCGTTTTTGCCGTTTTAGTGTGGACGGGAGGTGCAAACGTAGCAAAAGGTCTCCGTTTTTAAACGAAAACGCAGTAGTGTGGACGGGGCCTGAGACGCCCTCTGGTGTTCATAGGGATATGTGGTGTGTGTGTCTGAGACGCCCTCTGGTGTTCAGACAGAGCAGCATTTACTACCGATCAGCCGTGCTTCACTGACAAGCTGCACATAAAACAATCGCAGCCTTTACCAAATTGCGTGCGGTTTCCTCTCAATACAACTTAACATAAAACAATACCCAACTACTGGTCTGTTTAATACTCTCAAAGTTCTAAAACAAATCACCCTAAGCCACTCCCACACAAATGACATTCAATGATGTCACTACTCCTAACTCTGCGATTCCCACCATTCCAGTGTCCTTGCAGTTTCTCAATCTATTAATCACTAATGGTCTCAAAAGTGTTGACCTCCCCGGGTCACAAGTCATCAGAGCAGGCCGGTTATCTCTACAGGAAACACTGTACAGTAAGTGCACATTCCAAATGATATGATATAATGTAATTGATTTTTGATGTTGAACTCTACTTCAGCCCATCGTCTCATAAGGTGTGTCCCATACTGCTGCTGACCAGTCCTTTAACGTTTGTCACAGGTCTGACTCCATGTAGCTGTTTGCGTCTGTCGATAAACGCAGCGAGTCTGACGGTGTCCAGTGGTGTTTTGGAGTAATCTCCACTATGAGCGCTGACCCACGGGTGCTGCAGGCACGAGGCAGAGCTCGGCCTCTTTCTGGGGTCCTGGTTGAGCGTGGACACGATGAAGTCTTTGGCGGCCTGGCTGACGCCGCAGAAGTACTCCTCGGGGAAGCAGAAGTCCAGCCTGCAGATGTTGACGCAGGTCTCCTCCAGACTCTCGTCCAGGAACGGGGAGACTCCGCTGAGCAGGACGTAGGCCAGCACCCCTACACTCCACACATCTGTAGACAGGGACACCGGGGTGCCCTGGACGAGCTCTGGGGCGGCAAACTCAGGGTTCCCCAAGAGGATATGCACGTAGCGGTGACCCGAAACCTGCACCGCGTCGCCCAGATCCGAGAGCTTCACGCATGGCACCGGCACGTGGAGGTCCACCAACAGATTTTCAGGCTGAGGAACAAGAAAGAGACTTTCAAGACTCTGCACTAGGTTTTTGAACTCTGTTTTAGTGGTCACATACCTACATACTTGGTGCTTGCTTGTACAAAACTCTAAGGCTCAATCCCAATTCACCCTTTGGCCCTACCCCTTGTTTTCGAGTGTACCCCTTGGCCCTTAAAACAGAGTTACAAGGGCCAAAGGGTTGAAATATTCCCATACGAAATGGAACAACCCTTCATGAACCCGATACGTCATCAGTCGTCGGCGATGGCTCTGCCGTTACGGAGTTTTTACAGGATTTCTCCATGACAACGACTGACAATCAGCGCAGCTGCTCTTAACTTTGAGGAAACATGATGCTTATAACGTTCCTTCCTCGAATGTATGTCTTTTCTGTTTCGGAAAGGTAATTTATTGTACAATTTCTTAATTTAAATGACTATATCATTATTATAAGAGTAAATAAAGTGCACGGTGGTGTCATTTGGCGCTAAATTTAAATGTTTAACTGTTTGTGAAGCCATCTCGCCGGTGATTCGCGATGTATTCTGCGAACTTTCTCGTAGCCCTCCGTTTGGAGTGTGCCTCTGAAAAATCTCCGTTTCGAGGGCTATATAGCCCCACCCCTTAGCCCTACCCCTTGATCTAAACAAGAATCGGGACACCCTACCCCTTGACGTGAACGCGCAAAACGGAGGGGTAGGGCCAAGGGGTGAATTGGGATTGAGCCTAAATGTTAGCGTTATGTGGATGATTGCAAGGATGTTGGTATTTGGCTTACCAAGGTTTTATTATAATTATATGTTTATCTCTGTAAAGCTGCTTTGAAACAATCCATTGTTAAAAGCGCTATATAAATGAAGATGACTTATCAAAGTCCCTCGCAAAGAAAGTCAGTTCACTTGACCGCCATGTTGGAAGCTACTTTGGTTACGCAAGACCAACTCCAATTAACTTAAATGTGGTAATACTGAAAACTCAAAAACATCTGACATGAGCATCTCTTAAATGTTGTTTCTTATGCTCAAATAACATTAAGAAGTGTATCTTTCAGGTCGGTCCCGCCAATGTGCAGTCTCAGGTGCTTTCCCGATTGACTCTTTTATTTAGTATTCAGGACTTTCTGTATTAGATCCATCTTTTTTTTTTGCATTGCAGTTTCTCCCATTCATAGTAATATAAGTGCTCAGTCTTGGTATATGCAGTGTTTGGTTTTATTTAGGTTTTTAGCACGCTCGCTGCTGCACGGTTAGAGTGTTGCTGTGCGGTTGCTAAGGTGCTGCTTTGGATACGTGTCTGCTAAACTTCTACTTTTTCCTAAATAAGCTCTAAATATGCTGATGTGGTGGTATAATGTTTCACCTTGAGGTCCAGGTGAGCTACTCTGCATGTGTGCAGGTGCTGCAGAGCTTCCAGTGTGTCTTTAATGAAGAACGCCACCTTCTCCTCCATCAGCTCATCGTGAGCCACTAGATAGTCCAGCAGACGTCCATCTTCAACACTGAACACATAAATTTGATCACATCAATGCATGTCTTTCTTTTTTTTTTTTTATGCCAATTCTGAAAAACTTGTATCTGGGTTTTAGGACTCATGCCTGCAACACTCTTATTCTTTTATAGTCTTTGTGTTACACAAGTCATACAGTTTTGGAATGGCATGAGTGTGAAAATGTGACACAATGTTTGTTAATGTGTGAACTATCCCTTTAAAGCAGAGGTCTTCAACCCTACTCCTGAGGACCAGGCTGTGTTCAAAATCACCCCCTATTACCCTCATCCACTATTCCCTACGTTGGTCCACTAATATAGTCCACTGAAGGAGTGAATGAAAACGAGTGAGTGAATTCGGACACCGAGAGCGCCGGAGGAGCTGCCGCTTTTGCATGCTTTGAGCTTGATGTTTAATAATCATTTAAAATTGCTCTAGTAGAAAAGAAAATGTTTATATTAAACTCTGTCATGGAAACCATGTATAAACCTTAAGTAAACAATTTAAAAATCAATTAAAAGGAATTTATACCTATATGATATTACGCTGTACCCACATTGGACCGGCGGTTTGGAAAATGGATGGATGATGGCGCTTGACTCTCGCAGTGCATTATGGGTATTCTCTAGCTGTTGAGTGTACATCAGTTGTGCACTCGTTATTGCGCTGCATTATGGGATTGAATGAGGGCACTCGATAGCGTCCACTATGGTTTTGGACACCACTACAATGGCTGTGCCCACAAATAGTGCCCCATCCACCTTATTCTGCTCTAAACAATGCGCGCCACCATGACGACGATTCCGGTTGCCTACTTCCGGTTCGTAAGTTACTGTATTAGCAGTGAGAGAATGAGTTCAGGTTCTACGTGCTGTTGTTGGTTGTTTTAACAATTCAAAGAAGATAAAAAAAACTTTTTAGAAACTGGGTGCTTTGAGCATAAGATAAAAAGGAGAGAATGCATGTCCGGTTCGTATTCAATGCTAGAGAGTAGACGTTTTTGGTTAGCTACGCTAAAACTGAAGCATCCAACGAAAAAGGTGTATGTCTCTCCGCACCATTTTGTTGACAAACGCCTAATACGTGAACAGTAGGGATGGGCATTTCAAGCAAAAATAATAATCGAAGATCGCTGGGTATTATTCAATATTATTCGAAAATCGCACCCCTCCATCACATCACGCACACATGCATGTATAGGCTATAAGCTACACACCAGAGCACATGAGCAAAGCGGAGCAGTGATGCTTAAATATAAGTTTAAAAAAAACTAAACATACGTTTTATATTTAAGTTTCACAATATAATTTTTTTTATTTTTTTTATTTCATCTATGTTGATTATATGAAAAGGGAACCGCATGGGATGAGTCAGATATGATCATAATGCCCAATATATCGGAAAACATTTGGAATGGCTCAGACAGACATGATTTTGACCACTTATTAAGTTTTGTTTTGTAGAAAGCCTTTCTTTAAAGTGAATTTCGTTTAGTATAAATTGTATCTTCATTTTAATCAATGTTTTATCAACACTTGCCTGGAATACTAATAAATAAGAAGCAAATATATATACAGGACACGGAGCCGCGGCCGCGTGAACTGGAGCGCGTCTTATTAATCAACGGAACTCAGCATAGGCTATAAGTTACTTGCCTCACATACATGAGAAGTATATCTACAGAAAGCTTGAAATATGTACTTTTAAACAAAATAATTAAAAACGAGCAAAAATGGGCTGCTCTCTGCTTATGTATAGGTTAATTCGTATGAAGTGTGCATTTCTCTCTATAGGCGCGTTCTCTACTGCGAACATGGCGAGTCAGCATCATCAAATTTATCTTTGCAGTCGACACTTACAGAAAACACTAGTTTATTAATAAACAATTCAAATGTTTCATGCATAATCATTACTTTTGCCGTTTTTTTGTGGCAAGCTTTATGCGTGCGTTGTGATGCAGAATAGTCATTACGAAAACGCCCATTATGGTTTAGCATTCTCTCCCATATAGTATACATAACTTCCAACCCAACTTCAGTCGTGCACGGGCAGGGGGAGCTCTACTTATTTCACATATTTTCTAACCAGCACATCACTGCGGCGTTCTGACTCTGAGCGAGCGGTGCTTAATCTTCATAAAGCTTCGAACCGGAAAAGGACAACCGGCTTCCGGTTCAAACCCGCTATGAATCATGGGTAAATTCGCTAACCAGGAAAAAGGTGGATAGTGTCCCACTGTCCTGCAGACTTTAGTTCTAACCAAACACACCTGAAGCAGCTAATCAAGCTCTGCGGGATCAGCTGAAAATACACAGGCAGGTGTGCTGAAGCAGGCTGGAAATAAACCTTGCTGGACACTGGGTCCCCAGGAGCAGGGTTGAAGATCTCGCTTTAAAGATATTGATCATCTTTAAGATAAGCTCTCTACACTTCTGTAGCATATTTTTACTTGAAGTTAAACTGTCATCATGCTTGTCAAGTTTTTTTTTTTTTACTAAAACAGTCATAATTTACTGTACGCCATCATTTTATTAGAACATTAGAACTAAACAAGCTGTTTGTACCATCAATACTTCTACATGTATTTGATAAGATTGGCTAACGTCCTACTACCATTGGCCACTCTGCTGTTCATCAGGATTGGCCTAATTGCTGTCTAGACATAAGGGATTGGTCTAGTCTAGGCCCATAACTGTTGTGTCAATGGAAGTGCTTTCCAAATGGATTTACTCACAGCTCAAGAACCAGCATGTAGGCCGTGGGCGACTCATAGGTGTCAATCAGCGCCACCAGCTGGGGATGCTGGACATGACGCAGGATATCGGCCTCATGGGCAACCTGCTCTTTCTTCTGCATCTTCTTATTGACACATTTCACAGCAACCTCCTTCTTACTGGCCTTGCTGAGACACTTCCTCACCACTGAGAAACGACCCCTGAAACAGAGAAGATATGAAAAACATGCCAGAGTTTGTTACTGACAGGATGAATGATGCTAGACTGCTTTTTAACGAAGGTAAAATTTATATATTTACCGTCCAATTTCACATAATTCTGTGAACGCAGATTCAAAGTTATCTTTCCACTGGATTCCAGTGCCGTCATATGTTGAGGCTTGATGAAAGAGAGAAAGAGAAAAACTCAGTTCTGTTCTAAAACCCAGTACTGCTTACCAAAACAATACAGGCATCATATCACATTTAAATATGAGAAATATTTATGCATTTCATTCTAAACTGAAAGGTAAAGATAAAAATAGTTAAAATAGTGCAAATTATTTAAAGCCATAATTTTACCCAATACTTGTGTGCGTTGTTTACAGTATGTTTGTGATTATCAAACTCTACTGATATCAACTGCACTACAAAAAATCATATTCTTAATGAGCATTTTTGTGAGAAGCAACAATCCCTAAAATATTAAAATGTTTCATATATTACTTCTTGAATATAAGTTCCGGTATATTTTGTCTTACTAAACTGCCAGATTCTCATATTTTTTTAAATGTAAATTAACAACTTAATTTAGATACTGGATATGTATTAATGGATTTTTTTCAATTTTAGATACTGTATATTTTAGAATCTGTATTGAAAGCAAGTCTTAATATCTTATGTAGTGTTACTACTCAAGTAAATGTATCTTTTTGTGTATCGAATGTATCGAGTTGTATTAAGTATCCATCATACTTTAGTAAGTAAAGTTAAAGTAGCAATTAAATAGTATTAAAAATACTATTAAAAAAATAATTAATATTTCTAAAAGTATTAAAGTGACTGATATTAAAACTACTGAAGCATCAAATGTTAAAATACTGTATGTAAGAGTGTATTGTTCACCCGAAAATGAGAAATTGTCATGATTTATGCATCCATAAATCACTACAGATCTGTGTGAATGCGTATGAGAAAGGAAGGTAGTTGACTTTGGTGAAGCACTTCTATTTGATTTGATTGTCCTCACCTGTGCTGGGTAAAGTCACCATGTTTGAGGGTTCACTGGGTGGGCTGATGCCCCAGGGGTTACTGGCACTGACTCTGAACTGATAGTGCCCACCAGGAATCAGATTCTCAATCTTCACACACACATCTGCAGTGGAGACCACCGACTTCTGCCACACCAGAGAGTCTGCACACAAGATCAGACACACACATTTGTGAACCCAAAGCTGGATGATTAAAACATGGACATGACGCACATCCATGTCATAAGATTAACTTTGCAGACAAAAAAGTATGCATGGACCTGGCTAAAGATGCTATATTATATACTTCTGTAGAAATTTATTTATTCCTGTCAAAGTTCCTTGCACTAAAAAAAAATAGTACTGTACCTTTAAGAATTATTTTATGTAAGCTACTGTTCAAAAGTTAGGCGTCAGAATTTAAAACTTTAAAACTTTTATTTAGCGAGGATGCATTAAACTGAGCAAACATGACAGTAAAGACTTTACATTGTTAGAAAAGGTTTCTATCTCAGAAATTCTGCTCTTTTAAACTTTCTAATAATTTTTTTTTTATCACGATTTACACACAATCTTAATTAGCTATTTTCAACATTAATAATAATAATAACTGGTAACTTTTCGCAAATGATTCACACTATTGTTCAACAGGGCAGGTTAAAGGTGCAGTAAGTGATTTCTGAGAAATACTGTTGAAAGTGGATCAGACCGGGAACCACAACACACTTATAGCCAATCAACAGTAGGGGGCGATACACTCATGATAGGGGAGGAGAGGGAGAGAGAGAGAGAGAGAGAGAGAGAGAGAGAGAGAGAGAGAGAGAGAGAGAGAGAGAGAGAGAGAGAGAGAGAGAGAGAGAGAGAGAGAGAGAGAGAGAGAGAGAGAGAGAGAGAGAGAGAGAGAGAGAGAGCGCAATAGGGAGATTTGAAGAAAGACTGTAGAAAGAGAAATGGCTGAAAGACATCACAAAAGAGAAAAGATCAGAGGAATATCACTGGGAAAAGAAGGTCAAGAGCTCACTATACGTGATGTTTCATAGAACCAAGATACGCTGTTGTTGTTAGCTATAGTAACAGGACAGTTTTGGATGTAACGGTTTGTCTTCAGCTGGTGTGTTACTAGCTAGTATGTACTCTTGTGTACTGCATATTCATGTTTGTGCTCTTCCTTGCCATTTGTTTGTCATCTTCGCTTTATTTTTTCATGAAGCATTATTTTGCTTCACTTCAGCTATATGATAAAGAGACATCCACTCGTGCATTGTGTATTCGTGAATTTTGGGGGCGGAGCAATGAAGGGAGGGGCGTGTAGGGGTGATTTCCAATATCAACAGTGATTCTCAGAAATGGCTTACTGCACCTTTAAATATCTGAACACAGATATTGTGATGATATGTAAATGTGGGCAATCATTAACGTGCTAACAGTTGTGACAGCACACAGCTGTTTAGTTTCAACCAGTGTTGTTGGTGGATTGGCGAGGGATGTGAATGTGATTTATTTCTCCATTGTACATCAAAGTCTTTTATTTCCAAAGAGCAACATGACCCCATTACGTGTCTCTCATTACAACAGAAATCTCAGGCAGTTCTCTCAGTGTCGCTGTGTATTTGACAGCGTGTAATGGTTTACCTTCCTGCCTGTACTCCACAGTGTAGCTGGAGATGGTGGAGTTCCCCGAGCTGACTGGAGGAAGCCAGTGGACGATCACCGCCGTGCTGCTGGCCTCCTGAGCCACAGGTCGAGCAGGGGCTGCTGGGATACCTGGACCACAGAACAACTGCGATTACAGATGACCGAGATCCACAACACACATCTTTATTTCTCTTTGCGCCTTCTCACCTTGTACTTTAATAGATGCAGACGAGGAAGCTGTGCCATGATCATTCACGGCCACACACGTGTAGATGCCAGTGTCCTGCGGCATTAGATTACAGATCTTCAACACTATATCACCCGTATCCCTAACGTGGATCAGACACAGCACACACAGAGGGAGAAAATTATTTTCAGATAAACAAAAAAATAGCACAATTAAGCCAGTTATATTTACAAATCGATTTACATGTGACAAGCATCTGTAATATAAAATAGCTTATTCAGTGCAAAACCAAAAAAAAAAAACTGCTATTGCAAAATATAAAAATCAACATTCTGCAAATATAACAGGAAATAGGTCAAAAGTCATACAGTAAGTCATATAACAAACTTGAGTATCAGATTTAGAGATGTGTTTGAACTGTTTTATGTTCACCATAGAGAGTTAAAGATGTGATGTAATAATAAACAGATCTTTAGCAGTGGGTGGGGAGTAGGGAAAAAGAAAATCACAAATATGCATTTTGGTTGTATAGTGCTCATCCTCTTAACCTTCATGGGCCCGCCAGCGGGCCCATTTGCCATTGCATGTTTAAAACAATAATATCTTAGTAAAAACCTAAAGTAATATTGCCAAACTATATATCATTTGAAAGCTTAAAATCTCTAGTTTTTATAATTGGTGGCTGTTATCTAAAATAAATTACAGAGGAGCAGTAATTTATCAATTTGCAACAAGAATATTTCATATTCATTAGGAGTATTTATAGGCCTTTATTTTGAAATAACAATAATCACGAAAAATCATGAAAGATTGGTAGGAACCTCAGTTTGTTTTCATGCCATGAGTTCAAAAGATAACACCAATTCCATTTTATGAGAAAAAAATGTCTGAAAATGTTTTAAATAGAAAGAAAAATGTATGGATTCTCGATTTGTGATTGGCTGCGAGCTATAACGCTATAACGTAGTCTTTATGCATTTATTAGAGGTTGAATTCAAATCAAATACTGCCAAACCACTCATACTACTTCTGAATAGGATGTCTACTTCATAAATTGTATGAAAATTATGGAAATACATGGTTCAGATCACTCAAAACATATGAAAATGGAGGCGCCCTTATATGGACAGTAATGGAGTCTGGTGTTCACCTAGTGAAAAAGTTTGGTACTGCGCCCAAATAAAATCTTACTGAAAGCTCGTTTTTTGAGATATCAACCTACAATTTGGAATACAACTTGTTCAGATTTTTGTCTTTAATTTTCTTGCAGTTTTAGAGTAAAATATATTTTGTAATATATATATTTTATATAAAATATTAATAATTATATTTTTACATTACACAATTTCATAAACTCAAACTTATATAACTTTTTTTCGGTTTCCTTTTTTTATAATTCTAGACTTCTACAATAATCTGGAAAATGTCTTCTTTAAAACAAGACCAGCCATAGGTCTATATTCCAAAGCATTCCTGAATTACAACCATTTAAGTTTGGATAGTGATTTTTATGTCTATGCAAAAAAAAGGGGGGTGACAGTTAACAGGATAAGTCATTCCCTCCAGGATTTCACGATTTTTTTGTGTGATTTTTGCGATCAAAATGACTGATTTTGTGGTGGTAATTTCCAGAAATTTGTGAAAAAATTTGCGCTTTTTATATTTTATTATTAGGACATCACATTTACCATAATAGTATTATGTCAGATGGACAATAGTCATACATGACACAAATCACAAAAAAAATGCATAAAGCTTGTTTATTTGGTCTAATCAAATTCTTTTTTTTAAATTGTGCTGTAGCCTATTGTTGTTGCTTGATTAACATTAACAACACTGACAACAGCAAGTAAATTAGGTTACTGTCACTTTAAGACCTACTACAGTAATGACAAACGTCCCAATCAGTTATTACTGATTGTTTTACGTAAATACTTGCCAAGATGAATATTTTTAAGTAATTGTAGCTATGTGTATTTGTTCAAGCGCTATAAAGAGAATTCAATATTCTAACTAGGCCGACAGGCGGTGACAAGCAGTCAGTCAGTCAGTCACACACACACACACACTTGCAGTCAGAGACAGACTGTCACTCGACTGGCTGAAATGAGTTCTCTTTCACGATATACTGCGCTTTTAATAATTCTTTTTAGTACCATCGAGCATATCATACTTTTTGTTATGTCATTCAATCATGTTAAACGCGTTAATAAGTTTGCCGTACTGCCCAATGAAAACCTGGGCGCTGATGTGAGAGGGCAGGAGAGACGCATTTTCTTTCGCCATGTTTGACAGACCGCTCACAGACATCACGCGTGCGCAACATCTGTACCCACGTAAAAATACATTGAAACTTTAACTAGATATATTTCAATTGGGTGATTATAATTTAATGTTTTGTGAGGTATTTTTTTGAATTTTTGTGATTATTTTGCGGTTAAATTGGAATTATGCACGATCGCAAAAAAATGCGACATTTTGTTGATTTTGCGTTGTATTCAGCGATCGCAGAATCGCGAAAAACTGGAGGGACTGATAAGTGGGTCAGTGGAGAAGAAGAAGAAAAAAACCTGAGGAATCATCGGACAGTTACATAACAGTGAGACTCGTGAGGTCACATGGGTACAGTTTTCCCACAGAACGAACTCAGATTACATGATCTGACATTGTACTTTATATAAAACATTCCTTTAATCCTGAACAATTTCCTGAAACCAATCAGAGTCTTGCACTCAAATAAAGATGTTTCAATATAGAATTTCCAACCCGATCTCACGGGCATTCGTACAAATTTTACGAGGTGGCTAATTCGTACAAATTCATTCGACCTCACTCGTACGTTTTTTTTGTTGCAAATTCGTACATTTTTTACGAGTTACCAAATTCGTATGAATTCGTACGAATGACCTACCCCTGACCCCGCCCTAAACCGCCCCATCACGTGGGTTTAGACAAATCGTACAAATTCGTACGAGCGAGGTCGTACGAATTCGTACGAATTGGTCGTGAGATACCGTTGGAATTTCAATAATCCACATTGTACCAGGAGAACAAGTGGTTTAACGGGGTCATAGAATTTCCAACCCGATCTCACAGGCATTCGTACAAATTTTACGAGGTGGCTAATTCGTACGAATTCATACGACCTCGCTCGTACGTTTTTTTTTGCAAATTCGTACATATTTTACGAGTTACCAAATTCGTATGAATTCGTACGAATGACCTACCCCTGACCCCGCCCTAAACCGCCCCATCACGTGGGTTTAGACAAATCGTACAAATTCGTACGAGCGAGGTCGTACGAATTCGTACGAATTGGTCGTGAGATACCGTTGGAATTTCAATAATCCACATTGTACCAGGAGAACAAGTGGTTTAACGGGGTCATAGAATTTCCAACCCGATCTCACGGGCATTCGTACAAATTTTACGAGGTGGCTAATTCGTACGAATTCATACGACCTCGCTCGTACGTTTTTTTTTGCAAATTCGTACATATTTTACGAGTTACCAAATTCGTATGAATTCGTACGAATGACCTACCCCTGACCCCGCCCTAAACCGCCCCATCACGTGGGTTTAGACAAATCGTACAAATTCGTACGAGCGAGGTCGTACGAATTCGTACGAATTGGTCGTGAGATAGCGTTGGAATTTCAATAATCCACATTGTACCAGGAGAACAAGTGGTTTAACGGGGTCATAGAACTTCCAACCCGATCTCACGGGCATTCGTACAAATTTTACGAGGTGGCTGATTCGTACGAATTCATACGACCTCGCTCGTACGTTTTTTTTGTGCAAATTCGTACATATTTTACGAGTTACCAAATTCGTACGAATGACCTACCCCTGACCCCGCCCCTAAACCGACCAATCACGTGGGTTTAGACAAATCGTACAAATTGGTTGTGAGATAGCGTTGGAATTTCAATAATCCACATTGTACCAGGAGAACAAGTGGTTTAACGGGGTCAGAGGATGCAATTTTAAAAGTGAATTATTTTGTTTATTTGGTGTATTTAGAATAGGTTAACATGCTTTAATGTTAAAAAAACACATTACTTTTCCACACACAGTACATTATTGCAGCACCTCTTTTCCCAGTCTGTCTGAAACGCTCTGACTGAGTTCTTGTTTCTACAAAGCCCCTCCTTCCGAAATGCTCAGAGTGCTCTGATTGGCCAGCTGACCCAGTGCGCTGTGATTGGCCAAACACATTAAGCATTTGTCTGGAAAGTTACACCCTTTATCAAAATCGCAAGCTTCAGCTTCCAAGTCCTCTAAAGCAATTGTAAACACAAACAGATATTGTTCTCTGTTTTACCACATCAGTCTAAGCCTGAGTCCGATCATGACAATGTCGATTTTAAGTCCCAAACAGACAAAACAGTTTTAAATCCCTTTTGTGGGAAACTATGAGTTTTGTAACTGTGCACTTCGGCCTCGGTAACAAACAGACGCATTACAGACTCAAAGGAAATGGAAAACACCCGGCCTCTTTACCTTTCCCAAGAGTTTCAGCTCAACATGTGCTCACACTCTGTGTTGTGATTGACGGTGGATTTGTACCTGATGTTGATAGTGAATCGGTTATTGTTGACCAGCAGACTCTGATCGGGTCCTTTCAGGGTGATCGTGGGCTTGGGTCGAGCGCACACTTTACAACCCAGAACCACCGTCTCCCCCAGAGCACACGACACGTCCGCTAGAGGCGTCAGGAACTCTGGAGACACTGCGTTACAGAGCCAAGACATGATGTCAAATCACACAGCACTAGTTCTTTATTAACACACTAAACTGAATAGCATACCACACATTCACTTGGACTTTATATTTCTTTTAATTCACATAATAATAATAATATAGAATTTCACATGGCTAATTCAAATTCTGAATAAAACAAGCTACAGCTGGCGACATATTTATGGGGTTATTGTTTAATATTCCCAGTTAGATGTACATTTCAGATATCTTATGTCTCTTGATTTGTTTTATTTGTATTATATGCTCTGTATAAAGTATGTATTTTAGGCCTTTTATTTATTTTTCTGTACAGCACTTTGGTCCACTTCGGTTGTTTTAAAATGCTTTAAATAAAGTTTTTTTGATTGATTGATCTTCGCTATGCATTAAAACGTATAAGCTAATTGGGTGAAATTATTACATTTTAAGTCACAGTGTTGCTTTTATGACACATCTTCAATTAAAATTTGGTGTATTAAATATGTATAAATTCATATGCCTGTATACAAATAACACACACACACACCAGAAGTAATTTATAGGCTACATTTTGTGCTATGAAAACTGAATGGGCGAATGCTTATTCATTCCCCTTAACACATTGTCTCAAGCATTGCTCATTGTCCTGCACATAATTATCTACATATCTAAATGTGTTACAATTTTAAAGTAAATTAGACACATTGTGTCTAATGGGGGCGTCTCCCCTACTAGTGAAAAATACAGACAATCATCACAGCATCTGTACATTCATAAACTCACCCTCTTGGATGAAATTAGGGTTCAACAACTGCAAAACAGACAGATGAGTGTTACAGACGCATACATAGATGTAGCATTTCAGAGGGTCATATAAAAGCACTGATATTTTCTAAACACAAATACAGAAGGAAAGCTTTATGTTGTGTCACTTCAGCACAAGCCAGCAGAGGGCAGTGTCATCGCATGAGACACACAGACACTGGCTGGATTTGAAATGGCATACTACCATAGACAGTAAAAGAAATGGACAGAGCGATCTCATTGGAACTCAGTTGAGACAGTTGAAGCCCACTTTTAGCGATTTCTGAGCACTTCCGTTCCTGACGCGCAGACTCAGACCGACTCAAACTAAGCTTGATGACGTGAATCTTCTAGTAGCTGTGCGTGAAAATTGCCAACGTTAATCTTGCAGAGACGGGGAACTTGAGCAAAGAGTCCTTTATCGTGAGTGAGCAGGAGTAAGTATTCCGTTGCTTTTATGGACTCATTATCTATGGGCTTCTCCCTTGACGGGACGTCCCCCCGATTGCCTGCGAGCTTCTCCTCCTGTCTGTACGGTAATTTCTGTACAGCGCGACAGAGAGTCGAGTGGTTATGACGCAATCGTTAGCCTATTTTTACTAAATCTGTTTCTACGGGGCCATAATGTAACATAGAAGGTAATGGAGCCCTTTATACATTGTCGTGTTTCTTTAGAAATAAATAATGGACAAATGGAGTCTTTAAACGCCTCAGATGTAAAGTTATTTGCTGTCAAAGTGACGCCAAAATGAATGGGAGTCAATGGAAATGCTAACGCAAGTGAAGTTCTGCTACAACATGGCGGCACCCGGCCGGCTTCAACCTCCGGTCGATAGATTACCCCCTTGCATACTACTCGTACTATTTCTGCCATATAAACAGTGTTGGGGGAAGTTCATTTTTCGAGTAATGAGTTTGATTACTTTTTATGAAAAGTAATGCATTACGTTTTTTTTTGCGCTACATTTTCTCACCTGGGCTGGGCTTGCTTGTTTGTTTTATAATAACAAAACACAAACAGAAGTTATATTTTTGCTAAATACAAAGGCCCTTTTACACCAAAAGTGAAATAAATAAACCTCATGCTGAAGGAAATGCACATTCACTCCTGTCCAATAGAGGGCGCCGCTCAAACAAACCTTTCAGCTGTGCTGTCTATCTGGAATGCAGAAGAATTAATGCAGTGTTCGAAAATCGACCCCTATTCCCTCATTCACTATTCCGCACATTACTCCACTAATATAGTCCACTGAAGGAGTGAATGAAAACGAGTGAGTGAATTCGGACACTGAGTGCGCCGGAAGAGCTGCCGCTTTTGCTTAGTTTGTGCTGTTTAATAACCATTTCAAACATAGCAAACTGGCAGCTCCAGTAGTAATGAAAAGATTTATCTTGATAATTGTCATTGTTTATGTATGTTAATCAATTAAAAGGAATTTATACCTATATGATATTACGCTGTACCCACATTGGACCAGCGGTTTGGAAAATGGATGGATGATTCAGCCATCTTCTGGTCAGACGCGGGAAATTCATTCGGTACTTGACTCTCACAGTGCATTATGGGTATTCTCTAGCCATTGAGCGTACATCAGTTGTGCACTCGTAATTGCGGTTCATTGTGGGATTGAATGAGTGCACTCGATAACGTCCACTATGGTTTCAGACACTACAAATGGCTGTCCTCTCAAATAGTGCTCTATTTAAGGGTATAGGGGGCGATTTCGGACACAATCTAACACCCTTAGCTCAGCAATAAAACAATAAAACAATAAATTAACACAAATTTGATGTTTATCAAAAGTAATTTTTGCTTATTAACATGGCTAAATTGGATCATAAAAGGTAAGCAGGAAAGGCATTGATTAATAAAGTGAGATTAAATACATAAAGTATGTGTGTGTGATTTAACATGTTTAATTATTGCAGGTTGGCTTTTTACTGGTTTTATTCATTTTGAGGTATACTGAATCTGTTTGTATGCAAGTGAGACGAGTAAACAAGATGAATGTTCACATATAGTGTAGAGCTACAATAGCCATCATGTTTACACACAACGCCTCTTCACTTACTCCCGATTTATTTCTCTCATCAGAGCTGTCAGTCAATTCATGAATCAATAACTTTTTTTTACAACAAAAATGATCCATCACTGAACTTACTTAAGTTGGACTGTGACGCTATTTTCTTCTAGAAACAAACCTTGCTGCATTATTTTCCTGTTATCACTGTAAAGCTGCTTTGAAACAATCTGTATTGTAAAAAGGGCTATATAAATAAAGCTGACTTGACTTGGCATGGGAAAACAAAGTAACTTACTTATAAAAGTGACTGATATTTTGTTGCAAATTTAAAAGTAATGCATTACTTTTGTTACTTGGAAAAAGTAATCTGATTATACAACTCGCATTACTTGTAATGTGTTTCCCCCAACACTATATAAGTATATGGGAGAAATATTAACAGTATGAATGCTATTTGGTATTCTGCTACTGTGTGTGTTCAGAATAGCACACTACCATACTATTGATACAATTTCTGCATTGTGCTATATGTGAAATCCTCAATTCAGACCAAAATCACACTGCTTGTGATTCCCAAAACCCAATGCACTCCAACTGACTTTGGATTTCTAGCAAGATGTATTAATGAGTAATATCAAACACAAATATATCTTTTATTTGACCGGCAACACACACCAGCTGTCGGAATGAGGGTCCCGCCTTTCAGTTATAAGAGCCAATAGCCTCTCTGATAGAGGCATCACCTGGTCTTTCTGCTCTAGAACAGTGACAACAAATCATTTTAGCCTGAGGTAAAAAAAGAAAACTAGGCCTATATGATACTTGTGTCAGATTTGTGCAGATTTGCCACTGACTGAACACACTTCCTCCAGTAAGAACTGATGAATTAAACATGCACTCACTGAGATCATGTGACAGCTGTACTCTCTGAGACATTGCTTTTCACTAGGGTTGAGGCCCGTTCACATCAAGACAGATAACTATAACCATAACTATATTAGCATCCACACCAGCTGGCAATAACGTCCTGTTTAACATAAGCTCATGTGGTTCTGTCGTCTGCCATTCAAATGCTCAAGCTCTTTTAAAGTCGGCTGAATTTGGATTGGATGTGAATGTTTTATCATTAATAAGCTGTAAAAAAAGTTGTTCTGAAAGTGATTTCAGCAATATCATTCATTGGTGTTGTTATCGTTATAGTTGTGGTGTGGACTTCACTATTTTCAAAGAATTATTAGAATGATTGTTAAAACTTTAGTTAACGTTATAGTTATCATGCGTGGTGTGAACGGCCCTTTATACCAGTCACTCCACACAATTAGTTAAAATAATAAATTACCAACAACAACTTAGGCCAAATAAAATGTAAAAGGGGTTACAACGTAAGTAACAACTTAGAGCTTCAAAAGCTGTACCTATTTACTATTCAATTCAGTTTATTAAAACAATAATACTACCAATAAATACAAAAATAACATATAAAACTACTGGGCAGCATGCATTGAGATCAGGGTCTCTACCTCCATACTAGTTTTGGGGTCTAGATCATCCTCACAATCGGACTCGTCTGAGCTGCGGGACGCCTGTGGTTCGGGTCGAGAGAGAAACATGTTACACACTCACAAATACAGGGATACAGCGGGACGGAGTGTACAGTCTGAAAGAAACCCAGGCCGAAATGACAGGAATACAACAATCCTTACATTGTGAAATTAACTACTTAGTCATATCATTAATAACAAAATGGCAAAATTGAGAAAAATAGTCGTTTTTTACCAAATCATAATAATGATGATAATACAAAAAGTTTATAAAACAAATGTTTATTAATTTATTGAGAAGTATTGGGATCTACTATATATATATATATATATATATATATATGTATATATATATATATATATACACATGCATATATATATATATATATATACACATACATACATATATATAATTATAATACATTATGCATTTATAGTCATGCAGTTGTTAGCAGATTATGTCGTAATCATTCAACTTTTCTGATTAAAATATATAATGGCTTTTAAAAAAATTTAACAAAAGCTAATATTCAAAACAATGTGTGTTTCTGTCAGTGTCATGCTGTCATTGGACAGACGCAAGTGGGGTGAGTGACGTGTTCAGTGTTTATTTCCACACAGGTGAGGATGCAGCATACACACACACACACACACACACACACATACACACACACACACCCCTCATCCTCCTACTCACTTTCTCAGTGACCTTGCTGCTGAGAATTTCCTTTGCCTTACGCAGTCCATTCTCAACTTTTATGTCACTTTTGAGGGGCGCACTGTCCTTCTCTGCACGCTTGCGAGCGCGAAGCGTGTTCCACGAGAGAGATTTCCTGTTGTGTCAAAACATCAAGTTGTCAAACCCACACACGCTGGTGGAAACGCAAATCTAACAGCGGGGAAAAGCAAATTAAAAGTGCTGGAGGGGGGAAATTATTTCAGGAGGGAAATAGGGAGGGCCATAAAAAGAAACAGCAAACAGCGAGACACTCAGTGTTGTTAACCTATTTTTAGCATCATCCAGTTCTATTTATAGAAGCCTCAAAAGGTTTTTGGACACTCAAGTACAGCATTCATATGTTCATAAGTGTGCTTAAATTAGAGTGACATAACTTAAATTAGTGAGTATTCTTAAGTGTGCCCAAACATTCTCATATTTCAGTATTACACAAGTATAATCTTGTACAGTTCATTCTTCATTTTATTATATTATTATATCAGTAATATGATATACACTCACCGGCCACTTTATTAGGTACACCTGTCCAACTGCTCGTTAACACTTAATTTCTAAGCAGCCAATCACATGGCGGCAACTCAGTACATTTAGGCATGTAGACATGGTCAAGACAATCTCCTGCAGTTCAAACCAAGCATCAGTATGGGGAAGAAAGTTGATTTGAGTGACTTTGAACGTGGCATGATTGTTGGTGCCAGAAGGGCTGGTCTGAGTATTTCAGAAACTGCTAATCTACTGGGATTTTCACGCACAACCATCTCTAGGGTTTACAGAGAATGGTCCGAAAAAGAAAAAACATCCAGTGAGCGGCAGTTCTGTGGGCGGAAATGCCTTGTTGATGCCAGAGGTCAGAGGAGAATGGCCAGACTGGTTCGAGCTGATAGAAGGGCAACAGTGACTGAAATAACCACTCGTTACAACCGAGGTATGCAGCAAAGCATTTGTGAAGCCACAACACGCACAACCTTGAGGCGGATGGGCTACAACAGCAGAAGACTCCACCGGGTACCACTCATCTCCACTACAAATAGGAAAAAGAGGCTACAATTTGCAAGAGCTCACCAAAATTGAACAGTTGAAGACTGGAAAAATGTTGCCTGGTCTGATGAGTCTCGATTTCTGTTGAGACATTCAGATGTTAGAGTCAGAATTTGGCGTAAACAGAATGAGAACATGGAACCATCATGCCTTGTTACCACTGTGCAGGCTGGTGGTGGTGGTGTAATGGTGTGGGGGATGTTTTCCTGGCACACTTTAGGCCCCTTAGTGCCAATTGGGCATCGTTTAAATGCCACGGCCTACCTGAGCATTGTTTCTGACCATGTCCATCCCTTTATGGCCACCATGTACCCATCTTCTGATGGCTACTTCCACCATGTCACAAAGCTCTAATCATTTCAAATTGGTTTCTTGAACATGACAATGAGTTCACTGTACTAAAATGGCCTCCACAGTCACCAGATCTCAACCCAATAGAGCATCTTTGGGATGTGGTGGAACGGGAGATTCGCATCATGGATGTGCAGCCGACAAATCTGCGGCAACTGTGTGATGCCATCATGTCAATATGGACCAAACTCCCTGAGGAATGCTTCCAGCACCTTGTTGAATCTATGCCACGAAGAATTGAGGCAGTTCTGAAGGCAAAAGGGGGTCCAACCCGTTACTAGCATGGGGTACCTAATAAAGTGGCCGGTGAGTGTATATTAAATTAACACTTTTATTCAGCAAGGATCCAATAAATTGATCAAAAGTGGCAGTAAAGACATTGTTTTTGACATTTGACAATGTTTCAGTTTTTTTTTTTTACTTTCTATTCAAAAAATCCTGCAAAAATGTCTTCCAGTTTCCACAGCACAACGGTTTTCGATGTTGCTGATAATCAAAGTGTTTCTTGAGCAATCATTTCTAAAGGATCATGTGACACTGAAGACTGGAGTAATGTTGCTGAAAATTCAGCTTTACCATCAAAGGAATACATTACATTTTACAATATTTTCGAATAGAAACAGTTCATTTAAAATAGTAATAATATTCCACAATATTAATGTTTTGTACTGTATTTCTGATCAAATAAATGCAGCCTTGGTGAGCAGAAGAGACTTCTTTCAAAAACATTTAAAACATTTTTTTTGGAAGGATAGTGTATGAATATAAATCTTCATCCTTACACCATGGTGGACACATGGTTTGTGTGAGAACAGCAATCATTCATATCATTCACAGTAAATTCTGCTTCACACACAAACCCGTCACACTGTCAAGGACCGCGGAGGTTAGTACAAACGCAAAATAAGTGTTCTACACACTACATTACGAAATAAAACAAATGAAAGACATAATAAAAATAAGATGCACCACTTCTACACTGCAAACACAATGAAGGATTTCTTCAAATGCACGATTAGCATTCACTTGGCACTTTTATTTTATATTAAAACAAAAGCACACTATTTGACTAAGCCGTGTTAAGTCATGCGCATGTCAAAATTTTATTTTACATATTTAATATAATACATTTCAAATCATTAGTTACACTACAACATTGCAACTGTAGTTCTATTGCACAAACCTGACTTCATTAATAAAGATTCACTTAAATAGTGCAAAAGGCTCTTTACAGGAATGTGCTACAAACAGTAAACAAACCAACAGTATGTACAGTAAATGGCCAACATGTGATCCTGTAGATAGAAGAAAACAAAAGTCTATACAAAAATACAAATACTTAAAACAAATACACAATCTATAAAAAAATTGCCATAGACAACAGTATATGTTCTCCGCCAGGAGAAACAGGCCAAATCCTTCAGACGGCCTTCCTTTCACTTTTTCTTTTTTCTTTACACACACACAAAAAACAAAAAGAAAAATCATATCAACAAAAACAAACAAACAACGAAAATGGTGTTAGCAACTGAAATAAGTGTCCAGACGTGTCCATTTCCACACTGATGTAAGATTCTTGGCAAATCCTCAGTCTACAAAATAACAACGACGTGGCTTCGCTAAAGTCCTTTCGACATTTATCTGTTTGTTTTTAACTTCTAGCCCAGAAAAAAAGCTCAAAAAGAAGAAAATCAAATCTTCCCGTGCAAAATGGTCCAAAGCATCCGGGTTAGTTCCAACAGAACGGGGTGGGGGAGGGTGTTCAAAAACGGACGTGCAGTTTAAAAAAAAAAAAAAAAAATCCAATCATAGCTCCAGTTAGTATTGACTGACACTTACTTGATGTTTGAGTCTGCAGTAGTGTCTATGAGGGGTTTAGTGAGGGGGCCCAAGATGTGTCCCGGGACCCAGCCCTCCGCAGCTGGTGATTGGCTGTTAGCGGGTCGAAACACCAGGTACATGTTCTGCTGGTTCGTGGCCAGTATCTGCACTGTCTCACCCTGCGTGACACAGATCTCGTTCTCTTTCAGTGCGTTATAGTCCTGAGTCACCATCATGGACGACGACGTTCCGTTACAGCCCACACCGTCAAACTGCTGTGGGAAACAGAGAGAGACAACACACACACACAAAAAAGACATATACGGTTAAAACACTTAATACTGTATGTCAACCAAACCTTAATCTTCAGTAGTTAAGACACATCTTTTAAAGAATGCTTAGGTTATGGGGTTGTGTAATGCACAGCACATGCTGAATTTTCAGTGGGTTGTCTTTCAAATGTCAAGGATGACAAGCTTCCCACTGAGGGACAGTACATTTTTAGACACTGGACAACAGTGAGTGTGTCAGTAATACTGATGAATACTATGGAAACTTTGAAACAATTTCACTTTAACCTCTATGAGGTGTGAAATGCTATAATTGCGATTTATATAACTGCGTAAAGTCAACATGAAATGGTATTTGCAGGCCATTTTCACAATCTAATTTCATGACTATTTCAAAAGTCTACAGGTATTTTGACAGTAAGTAACTTGAGGACGTGGGGGTGATTTTGCCATTTAAAGTGCGGTCACATTTACAGTTGCTTTGCAAAATTTTGAAAGCGAAATCCGGTCATTTCAAGGAATCCACATGACTTGCGATTTTACAAACAATTTCCACTAGCAGATTGCGCATCAGGTCCAAGATAGTCATGCAAACTTGCTGGGTTGACAAACAGAAAAGATGCTTACTTTGAAAGTAACTTCTGTGTGAGCTGTGCTTCGTGCATCACTACACTGCTGACTACAGCGAAATTCTGCGAAAAAGGTCCATTGTCTAATGTGGCCATGCCTTAAAGTGGTTCTATAGAATCAGAAATATCTGTTTTTCTTTTTCCTTTTGAAATCAAGGTGGGATTGACACAACAATTGTTTTAGAGTTGGCATGTAATGAAAATTCACCCTATATATATTCTCAATGCATATTATAGACCTTATTGTGAACATTTCATAAGTCAAGTCACCTTCATTTATATAGCGCTTTTAACACTATAGATTGTTTTAAAGCAGCTTTACAGTGATAATAGGATATGACAGTAACAGAGATTGTTTTGGCTTTACAGCAGCTCTAGAATAAAGTTATTGTCCAGCTTAAGTTAGTTTTGATTGATTGATTCACTTCCGTTGCAAAGATCATTAGTTATTAACTTAGGGGCCGCCAGCACGACACCGTTCTAACAGAAAACACTCAACGCGCTCCGGCCCGCTCATCCGCACAAAACAGTGCCTGGTGGCGCGAGAACGCAAACCCTGAAATAGATTCCAAGGTGTAAGCCTTGAAAAAAAAGAAAAAAAAAAAGAAGGTTATCTCTGCGCAAACCTCAAAAACGCAAACCCGCGAAACCGCCGATGACGTGCACATGCGCATCACGCGTTTAGTCTATAGGTATGCGCGTTTAATTTTTAAGAAGATTTTGTGTCCTCGTAAAACGAATCAAAATGTCATAACTGTATCTTCTCTCTGGTGACCAACGCAGGGTTTCCAATCATTTATCCTGTTTAAACCCTCCCCTGCCAGATCACATTCATCTCTCTGCCTTCTGTTTTTGATAATCCGTTACACTCGGATGTGCGTCACGGAAGAAAAAATCAGTCGCTACTTCCATTTCCACTTGTATCATTTACACTTTCGACTAGTTGACTATTGCGACTTTAAAAATCATTTTGACAACACTTGTGTGCTAATGGGAATGTGTACAATGGAGGTTTCTTTCAGCGGGCAAATGTCCTATCAAGTAGGCTGTCAAAATGGGCCAATGGACTGTGACAGTTACTCGGCATCATTTTGGAATATGTGACTAATTACAGGCGGGGTAGACGCTCTTGTGTACTCTACGAATCAACTGACATCCAAAAGTCGTGGATGAGTCAGGCAAATATTCTTATAGAGACACTAGGTCATTCAGGTAGGGATTTGTCTTTCAACAAATGCAACGTTTAAAAACATTACTAGAGCACGCTAAAATGTCTACAGTATGTTAGAGTGAGTTGCAGCAAAACTCCCCTGGCCTCATAAGATGCGCTGGCTGATGCAAGATAAGCAATAAGCAAGATGACATTCATTACAATCTATTTCTTATATTTAAATACATACAAATGTCATTTACAACTTTTAGTTTGTCAAGAGATTTAAAGCGTAGTTTTTGAAGAGTGTGCATGTGTGAACGTGCTCTAGTACGTAAGAACGAGCCTGGAAATTCAGAATATTGAATTGGAAATAACTGAGAAACAGTCCTCAGATGCCATGTCCGTAATTTATAGCGAAACATCTAGAATTCGAACTCAAACTGATTAATTAAAAGTAGTTATTACTCCATCACCTGCGTGACATCATTAACCAACATGGTTGAATGACCAGTTTTCGACAATGCGGTTTCGGGAAACAGTCGTGACTAGCTAATTGATTTCTTCAACTATGCATTGTACTATGGTAGTTAAGCAGCAAGTTAAGTTGTTGTACGGAAAACTGGGCGGGCCGCGTAGGACCGGTTACATTTGGTGCCGTGACCCGGGTGGGAGTGAGGTTTTGGGAGGGGAGTGTAACGCAGGCCAGTTAGAGCTGTGCGTGTAAACCTCACTCCCCTGGCCACAAGAGGTGCGCTAGCGACTGGCGCTAGAGTCTTTGGTCTTTAGCGTCCTTGTTAGCACGCCCGCCTCCCATACCAGAGACGCCAGTTTGAATCCAGCTCGGAGATTAATGAGCCACTATCAACTCTAGCGTGCAGATGTTTAATGTTAGCAGAGGTGCTGTGTCCTCACCCTTTGGTATCTGTCCGAGTCGTGGCACGGACCACCGTTGGAGGTAGATAGCTTTATCGGGGTGGAGCTCCGTCCAGACAGAGAGGGTTTCTCTGCTCCCAGTGACACAGTGGAGCTGGGCCTGCTGTTGGACTGACCCACTCGCCCACTGCTGGAGGAGTTTCGGGTCAGAGATTGAGAGCCGCTGCGCTCCTTCTGATACTCGATGGGTGACTGCAGAGCTGTAGATACAGTAGAACGATGCACCAATGGTTTCAATAGCTCAACATGAGGAGAGTTTACCAACACATTTACGATTCACATGGCCGTGACAACTTCTTACCTGACAAGAAGTTGCTCTGTAAGTCTAGTAGATCGGTGATATGCTGAACCCAGACCTGTTTGATGTCCGTGTTTGCCGCTTGCAGGGTAAAACGTTCGGATGACCCACGACACCACAGCACAAACTTACACGGATCGTTTTCAACATGCTCTTCCAGGCCGAGGAGGTTCACCTGCACACACACATAAGTCCGTATCACACCTGGCTTCAGCTGCCAAGTTACCAGCGTTGTCATTTTCAGAACTCCCAAATATTAAAGCCCAAAGTTTAATTAAGTTTCGACACAAATGGTTACCAAATGCATACATCCAAATGCACTGGCTTTCAAAGTATACTCTATTTGATATATGTGTGGACATAAGCGCTCAGCACATGCGCACTACAAAGTTCCATCCTTGTTGTTTATTATGACCAACAAAAATATCCTTTTACTTGTTTAATCTACAGTTGCAGGTATCCCTTAGGGCCCCGATATACTCACGACAAAGTTATTTTTTGTTATTCGCTTAGGGGTAAAAAGAAGTTTGAAAAACCTTTGCAGCAGTGTACTGTTAGAGAACATCCTGACTCTACTGGGAGCCGTGTTTAGGTGAATATGTCTGTTTGATAATTGTTTGGTATTTGCTATCCGTGTAATAACTTAATTAAATAACTTTAATGAATTCATCAAGTGCACCATCACACAGAGAGAAAGACAGTACTCTTGAAAAACTAACAACATGTATAATGAATTATTGACTAATGAGCATGTTAAAATGCTTAGCCCCTTTATCATTTGCTCATGGAAACATAAGTGAATAAAGACGTAATTATATTTGGTTGGTAATGTATTTGCACTTGCAAGTGTCCAATAAACAACTAATTAGAAAAAAACTAATTAGTACACAAAAAAATGTGCTAACTGAGCATACACTGTACACTGCTTGTGAAGCACATGTTATCATCAGGACAGTATACATGCACAGTCATTGTACACATACCCTAGCATACACGTAATAAACTTTGGGCTTAAAATAACAGTGAACAAACTCCATGACTAACAGTGGTGCAGTTACCTTGATGCTCTTTTTAAACTGGTATCCTGGAATGGACGAGCCTTTGCGTAAGAGCTCGCTGAAGATGACGATCTGTTCAAACAGGAACACCCTGCGCTCTTTACTGCGGGACAGAACGCCAGAATCCTGCTCCGTCACAAAAAACGTCTCCTGCTGCAAGAGTTTTCCCTGACTCGTCAACTTCCCCTGAAGTACACAAACATAGAAACTCATCAGTCTGGGATAGTTAACGTTTCAATGACTAGCTTATATATATATATATATATATATATATATATATTCAAGTGAACATTACCAGATGGCACAAAATAGGGAGGACTGTTAAAATGCTACATTTAAAATAGGGTTAAAGGTGTAGTTCACCCTAGAGACCTGCACTGCGCACCTGGAGCGTGTGTAAAGCCCTGGGACACACCAAGCCGACGGTCGGCGACCGGGGATATGTTGGGCCGTTTTTGAGCATCGATCGGCTTAGTTTTTTATGTGTGTTCCTCACCGTTAGCTCTAGTCAGACGGCACCAGGCTTTTTAATTTTTTTTGCCTGATTATGCTTGTTGAATCACCGTTGCTGCCGTCGGCAGAGAGAGAACTCTGATTGGCTGTTCAGCTTAGCGAACGAGTAAGTGCAGAAGAATAAAAGCGAGCAAAGAAATCAAGGCGGTACAGAAAGAAGGCTGTTATAATTATACGTCATCTTACCTGAGTATTCGAATGCGCAAATATTTTCATAACATGAGCCGAGTGGAATGAAAAACATGATCATCATTATTGATATTGAAAATGGTTAGCAAGCGCCGCTTTGTTTATGGTTTGTATATCTGCAGTCCTAGTTTCGGATTTCCTTTGTGCTGCTGGTTATTTCCTTATACGCATGGGCAGAACGCACGTGATAGTTGACAGACGCCAGTAGTCATTTTGGTGTGTTCAAGCGAAGCTTTTTGGACAAGACGCAGCCGACAAGAGACGACAACACAGTCATGGTGTGTCCTGGGCTTTAGGCTGCTGCTGCTTCTGATTACTTTTAGAGGGAAAAGCTGCCCTTAACTGCTGGTCTAGGATCAGTTTTCTCAGTTTACGCTCACAAATCCTCTTATTATAACAAACGATGTGTAGACAGCTGCATTGATTATAATGGAACTTTGTGAGATTGCGATGAACTGAGATGAGTGACAGCTTTTTAGTGATTATAAAGGGGAGCGATCTTTGTGTGCTTTCTGTCATGACAAATCATGCATGCAGTAGCCTATGATTGTTCTGTTCAAATTAACAGTGGTTTGTGAATGTAGATGCTTTAATTACAAATATTTCATCGGGACCATTTATGCTGGGATGTGTAGGTTGTGGCTATGCAATACGTAATTTGAAACTATTTCATGGAAAAATCCGTCCCGTGCAGGACGGACCCAAAGTTCACCCAAAAATGAAAATTCTGTCATTATTTACTTACCCTCATGTAGTTTCAAACCCATTGGACTTTCATACATCTACGCACCACAAAAAAAGATGTTTTAAGTAGGGCTGTCAGTTAAACGCGTTATTAACGGCGTCAATTTTTTTATCGCACGATTAACGGTCTTTTTGGCCTAGCAAACTTTGTAGTTTTTTCACATGCTTTTGCAACAGGACGCGGCGCTGCGCTATGAAACCCATTCATTCCAATGGCTTGCGCCGCACAAGGACGTTTTGTTGCTTCGTCGACCAAAGCGCAAGCGGATCTAGCTAGACCGGAAACAAAACAACAGGCACGCCGCACACACTTGTTTGGGCTTGCGAGCCGGCCAAATAGTTGGTTAACTTTACGTTTTGAGTGGATGACGAGCGCGAGACGCCGAAATGGATGCCAATAAGATTCTGAATGGATTTCTGAATTACTTTTAAAAAGTTGCCACTTGATGGCCAAGCACACACACACACAGCTGATGCGAATTCTCCGCCCCCTCGTCAATATCAGAATCTCGTCAGTATTTCTTTCACCCTTTTATTGATGGACAATGTTACATTGTGTGAGAGATTATTTGCTCCAAGTGAGAATGTTAGTGTGAAATTGAACACAGTATATGCCAATGTTGTTTTCAATAAAAAACATTTGCACAAAGCAAGCCGATCCACTTTTCCATGTTGATAAGAACATTAAAATGAGAACAAAATAATGGGACAAAAAGAAATCAAGAGACATTAAGAATAGATAAAAATGTGTGATTAATTGCGATTAATCGTGAGTTAACTATGACATTAATGCGATTAATCGCGATTAAATATTTTAATCATTTGACAGCACTAGTTTTAAGTAAACCTGAGAGATTTCTGTCCCTCCACTGAAAGTCTGTTCCACCAAAACGTTGATGCTTTAAAAAGTCCATAAAGACATTGTAAAAGTGATCCATATGAATTGAGCAGTTTAATCAAAGACTTCTAAAGAGTTCACTTTATATGATTAACAGAATTAATTTTGGCATTTAATCACAAACATTGATCAACGCACATAGAGTACCCTACATAAAATATGATAAATGAAATGTCAAACATACTTGCTTGACGAACAAGAACAAACCTCATTGTTTTTTCGTGCGGAAACTGGAACATGCATGTTATGAGCAAGCATGTTTGAGCTTCCATTTACCATATTTGATGAGCTCTATGTATGTGCCAAATCTTGACAATCAAATTTCTCAGGTTTCATTAAAATATCTTCATTTGTTTTTTAAAGATGAACGAAAGTCTTATGGTTAGGAACAACATGAGGGTGAGTAATTGACGACAGAAGAACACCCCTTAATCACAGTAAAATAACTGTAAGATTGTACAATGTCTTTCAGAAAATGTTGTTTGATTTAAGAAATTTAAGAATGAGTAAAGGGAAGCTGCTGTGATCAGAATACCTCATATCCCTGCAGTCTTCCCAGATTCATCATGTCATTGCACAGCTTGGGCACCTGGGACATCAGGTCTACTGCTTTCTGTTACAGAGAAAACCAACACACACCTGTATGACCATTGGACTCGAATCTAAACTGCTTCAGCTTTTTGAATTTCAATTTTTTACAACTATCTAAAATGCAATCACCTCATTTTATGATTGACCATTAAAAAAAGGGGAAAAAAGGCAAGTAAGATTCATTCTTACCTCTATATACTGACAATCCAACCCCGCCTTGATGCTGTACTTTAAGAAGTCCTTAAGCAATAAAAGAAATTATAAACATTAATAAAACTTTATTATTTATTACTGGTATCAAATCGCAGCATCAAAGACTTCTTTTCTATTGTACCTTTAATAAAAGTTGGTATTTAGTAATTCTCTGAATGGGTTTAATGAGAAAATCACTGATGGCCAGTCTCGAGTTGATGTCTTGCTGAATCCCCTGTGAGCCAAAACAGACACAAGAATATACACTTGTAATGATTAATTGTTTATTTTTTATTTTAGAAGCAATTTTACAGAGTGCTGCAGAAACGAGTCCGAAAACCTGGACATAAGTTGCCATTTTTATTAAATTCTCAAAGTCAGTTCGTTTTTGGACTGGGTTTTTGGTAAATGCTTGCTATAAGGTCTGTGGTTGACACCAATTTACATTTCATGTTTATATGTCTCGAAAAAGGCGGTTGTAAACAAGTGGCTAAATGGGACTACAGAGGTTCACTAGTCGGCTTTTACAGCCTCATTGTGTTTGTACTCATGCTCTTTTTCTAACTCAAAATTTCCAAATTGTAAATTTTGGAAGCTTAGTGTTGATGTGACGTTGAAGTCACATGGCCGTGGTTTAGTTTGTTTAGAGCCTTAAGCTTTTTATTTTTGCTGATAGTATGAAGGCTTTAAATTTCAAAACTTCAAAAATTATCTTATGGAACAAAACATGCAAGTATCAAACTTTTGTTGGTCTCAGAGCTTATTTTCTGCAATACTCCAAAAGCCAATGGAAAAATGCTATTGGCTTTTCTGTCGAGGGAACCAGGGTGATGCTAATGCCGCCTTTATGTGCCTTGGAAATTTTCTACTTCCCACTTCTGAAGTTCTGATTACGAGATTGTCGCGTTTAAGTGCTTTGTTGTCAAAAACAATAGGAATCACGGAGGACACAGAGTTCACGGAGGAATCACGGGGGTGGGATTATTAATGGGTTATTAATGCCAAAATGTATTGAAGATATTTAATTATAAATAAAATATAGAGTCCCATTCGTTGACAACCATATAAGCATTCACCACGCTATCTAGATAGTCAGCTTGCTTACGATTAGACATGTGCCGGTATTCGGTAATGCGATAAATCGCGGTAATGAATATGCACGATATTGTTATCGCGGGGACTTCGAAATACCGTGAAAAATAATAGATCCGAATTTAGATTTTTAGAACGCGCATCAGCTTATTTTCCATCAACCGCTTAAAAAACAATGCGCTGCGCAAAACACGTGCGCACTTTGATGTAAACAATCCCCACATCACATGTATAAGCACTGTGTGCATGCAGTGCGCACTCTAGTCTAATGTAAACAATCCTCACGTGGAGAAGAAGCACGGCGGAAGGAGGAACGCTGCCGACTATTTATCCCCCGCATGGCCGCCAACTCTCACGCATTCAGCTTGAGACTCACGCAATTGACACTTTCACACGGTCTCGCGCCACACATCCATTTTCTCACGCAGAGAAAAATCGCGGAGCAAAGAGGACACTGACACCGACAGACTAGACAGAGCAGGTTACTTTTGATATGAAAAAAACATCAGCTCTCAGGTTCTGTCCATTTTATAACGAAATTCAGACAATAAATACTGTTTTGCTGCTTGTAGGCTTGGGCGGTATCCAAATTTTGATACCGTCAAACCTCCTCCCTATTTTACCGCGGTATACGGTATTACCGCGTGATAATTCAAAATTATGACATAAGGCTCAGAAGGCATCACCAAACTGTTGGTTTGAGCAGGGATGAGTCACAATTTTCGAATATTTGATTTTATTATAGAATATGGAATAGGTTGTGGGATTATTGTCTAAAAAAAATCCCCATGTTTTCCGTTCTGATGCGGTGGTGACACGTTCAACCAGAGGGTGGCGATGCCAATAATGCATCTAAAAGCTGTCAATCAACTCTCAGACAACAGGAGAAGATGCACATTGTCTCACACCAGAGCATGCGAGCGGAGTGGTAATATTTCCTCCAGAGCAGAGAGCGCATTTCTGAAGATCCCGCGCCGCGTGCTCAGTCCACTCAGCGTCGCGCGCTCAGAACGCCCGCAGTGACATGCTGGTTAGAAAACATGTGAAGTAGGGCTGCCCGTGCACGACTAAAGGTTTTTTTTCTAGTTGACTAGTAGTAGTTGATTTAAGCCATTAGTCTAATCACATATTTATATTGATTAAATTACTTAAATATATATAGGAGAGAATGCTAAACCATAATGAGCGTTTTCGTAATATATTGCCTATTCTGCATCTCAAAGCACGCATAAAGCTTGCCACAAAGAACCGGCAAAAGTAATTATAATGCATGAAACATTTGAATTGTTTATTAATGAAAAACTTTCTATGTCAGTGGCTGCACAGATAAAGTTTACGATGAAGACTCGCATCTTCGCAGTAGTGAACACGCATAGAGAGAAATGCACACTTCATATGAATTAGCCTACACAGAGAGCAGCCCATTTCTTTTAGTTTTTAATTGTTTTGTTTAAAAGTAGACATTTCAAGCTTACTATATATATACACTTCTCAGATATTTAAGGCATCTATCTTATAGCCTACGCTGAGTTTCGTTTTTTTAGGAGACGCGCTCCAGTTCACGCGCCGGTGCCTCCGTGTCCGGCTTATATTGTCTAATATATATGCTTTTATTTATTACTCCAGGCAATTCGTTGATGAAACATTGATTAAAATTAAGATACAATTTATACAAAACGAAATTCACTTTAAAGAAAGGCTTTCTACAAAACGAAAGCCTCTCACGGAGACTTCAGATGCCCCAACACCTGCGATGAGACGACTCGACGCCGGCGAAATGTTATGCCCTAAATTAATACATGATGATTAACTAACTATATTCTTCTATGTACATTTCTGAAATGCACTTTCTGTAAAGCTGCTTTGAAACAATATGTATTGTGAAAAGCGCTATACAAATAAATTTGAATTGAATTGAATTGAAAACAAAATGTAATAAGTGGTCAAAAATCATGTCTGACCCATTCCAAATGTTTTCCGATATTGGGCATCTTATCATCCTATCTTATTCATCTCATGCAGTTTCCTTTTCATATAATCAACATAGATGAAATAAAAAAATAACAACATTATATTATTAAACATAAATATGAAAAGAAATACGTTTTTTTTTTTACTTATAGCCTATTTAAGTGTCACACCGCTCCGCTGTATAGCTGTGTAGCCTACATGCATGTGTGTGTGCATATGGTGGAGGGGTGCGATTTTCGAATAATAATCAAATAATACCAGGCGATCTTCAAATATTATTTTTGCTTGAAATGCCCATCCCTGCCAAACTGCAGAAGTCGTGTTCTTCTTCGAGACCAGGTCACTCGGTGCGCAACTTGCCATCTTTCCCCCTCTCTCCCCCACTCTTTCTCCTCCACACTGTCACGTGATGACAACCACACATAAGCATTTTTAGCCATTAAATAAATTATATTTAATATTTAATCCTTGTCTTCTATATAAGTGCATTGGATTTTTTTTATGACGGTATGACGATATTGAAACTGATACCGTTGCTATTTTTAGATCCCGCGGTATACGATATTACCGTATTACCGCCCAAGCCTAGCTGCTTGTAAATGTGACGTGACAGATCGCGCGCCTCAGTTCAAGTAAACCGATCATCTGTTACTTTTCATTAAAGATACAGTACAACCCACCGAAAGGTACGTACTTTCGATCAATCAGTGTTTTTCAACCACGGAAAGAGGTCAATAAAACTGCAGGAGAACAATTATGTCACAGAACGTTACATTTACCTCAGGAAAGCCATTTAATGTTAGTTGACTATAAGAAAATAGCTATAGAGAGGAGTATTTTGCTAAATATGTGCACTATATTACATATTTTAATATATGTTTACTTGTCATTATATAATTGTTATTATAATGAAAATTACGGCATATTACATTTTTATATTTATATTATTATTATATTTATATTGTATGCATTATATTTAATTTCTCTCTGTATGTTTACAGCATTATGTGAGATATTTTTTCTTGAGAAAAATTTAAATGCAGGCTATCTACTGTAGCCTACCTAATATTTATCCAAATGAGTCAATATTGAATCAAGATTGAAATTAAATCCAAGAATTTAATTGAAATCGTGAAAATTGTGTTAAGCAATAATACAAACAGTAGCCTCAGTAACTGTACCATGTAAACATTGTAACATGTTGTCACTAAAAAATAAAATTAATGTTTTGACAATCACAATTACACATTGTGATGCAAGTTTTTTTTAGATACCCCCAATCCATCTGTTTCTCTTGTGCAATTAAAATATCGTGATAATACCGTATACCGTGATAAAAGCTCAATCAATTAATCGCAGCATGAAAATTTGATACCGGCACATGCCTACTTACGATTCTGGAATTTCATTCAAATACAGGCTATTTTCCCCTTGTATAGAACATACAAAATGCTTCAAATGGTTGTTGATATTTGTAAATATGTATTACTTTAATGACAAGACAAAGTGATGTAACTGTTGTGGAGAAAGCTAATGAAGAATACCGGTCATAGGAACAATCGTTCTCCTTTCCACCATGTTTAAAGATTATGGCCCACCCAACTCGTAAACTCTGCTATCAAAATGATCTCCAAGTTTCCCAGTAGTAAATATCACATGCGAGGGTGTTCATGTCCAGTTTCTGACCATGGGCGTTTTCACACCTGTAGATCATTTGCTTTGTTCCAAAACAATGATTAAAATTGTTACGATTTCTTCTTGGTTCAGTTCGCTTTCACAAGGCAACATTTCTAAATGGACCAAAATGAGTTAATACGAGTCGAGTCCGAGTAAACTCTGATTGTGGCTTTCTTAGTAGCTGTCATTATTTTACTTTATCATTTTAGCAAGAATCAAGGCTTTGCCTGTATTTTTATGTGTTTTGGACAGGTCTGAAATATGTTCGTCCAACCAAATTTCAATAATGCATTTCACTTCGTCTTTGCTCCACTGTATGTAACTACCCATCATATAAAGTGATACAGCCTGGGTCGGATCGCTTTCTCACCACAAGCAAACTGTTCGAGACGAGACCACCTCGTTCAGGCGATTTCGGAGCGATTATTTTGGTGCGGATATGAGCGCAATTGCCATGTTCATGAGAAAATGCACCAGGCTCCGAAACAAATGCTCCAAAGGTGTGAAAACGCCATAAAACTCGTATTTACAATAATTCTGATAGCATGTGAAGGCAGCACAACTTTTGGGTTGGTCTACAAAAATATGTCATCCCTGCAGCACTCTATTGCAGTAAAGTGTGTCTTACCTCGAAGTATGAATCGTATTCTGCAACGATGAATTCAGATTTGGGTTTGTTCTGGCAGTAAACCACATACATGTGCAGCCTTCTCTCCTACACACACACAAGCAGAAAACACTTCATGAGCACATAAAACCTTTATGACCTCATGACCTTTACACTGTTAGAGCATCAGACCTAATGTCAGTCACATACTTACATGTTTACTAAAAAGCTCAGGCAGTTTTTCTTGATCTTCAAGACATTTTTCCAGTTCACCAACAAAAAAACTTCAGACAGCAATAGAAACATGGAATTAGTTTCATTTCAGTCATTTTCCAATAAGAGGAGCTTATGCGAGACACTTACTCTTTGTGCCAGTCGTAGATTTGGTGAATGTTTCCAAAGACGATCTTATCTTTTCCTTTCATATGATCGGGAATTCCTTTCTCCTCTATTCTCTTCATAAACCCCTTCAGAAAATTATTTCATATACATATGAGACACCACCCAAAACACACAAAGTTGATAAAAGCCACAGTAATTCATATGTCCGTCTACAGCGGTTGTAAATTATGATAAATGAAAACTGTGATGATTGGACATCCACTCAAGTAAATACTGAAACACTGATGATGTAATGAAAATGCAAATGAGGAATGAGAAATATGCAAATGGAATTGATATGTTCAGATAGACAGAACAAAGTCAAATGAAGAAGGATAAACGACACTAGGGTGCTTTAAGATGATATTTTCATGCTAAAGCCAAAGTATACCTTTAGTCACAGCACTGTATTATGATGGTGTGTTATACTGTCTGGATTCTTACCTCAACCACGATACCCAAATCTTTCACGTAGTCTTTTTCTGTCTGGATTAATTCGTTCAGAACAAACCTACAACAGAAAAAAACAAACATAAAATAGTTATTAAAGATTTTTTGAACAATAACAAAAAATATGTGACAGGCACATCACACTTCGCTTTTGAGAGTGTTACAGAACGATAGAGAACAATTTGAATAAAAAGATCAAATGCCTACAACGGATGAACTTCCCCATAAATGCCATGGATCTTTAATGAGAGCCATATCATTCAGAGAGATGCTTTCTCAATACTTCCTGCTATATTGAATTCAGATCTCGTGGCTCTAAAAGACTCAACTGCCTTAGATGTAACCAGAGTTTTTGCCCCATTAACCCTCTGGGGTCTGAGGTGTTTTTGGGGCCATTTGGATGTTCTGTGATGCCCTTACATTTGTGCTTTTTTCAGTTATTTATAAACATGTTAATGGCAAAGGTGTAAATTCACTCTATATAGCACAAACAGGGCTACCATAATCTGTGAGCAACTTGTATGTACATTGTTTGTATTTTTAAGAGAATATTGTTTATGCGTGGTTATTGAAAAAAATTAAAATGAAAGCTGCTGAAATAAGACCACAAAACAAATACTAAATATGTGTCCACAAGACTTTTGACAAATGGATGTTGACGCTTCGAGTTCTGGCTTCAAAATGATCTGAAAATCATCCTTCCTAATCATTCACATAAACCAATAGATTGTTTTAAATTGTGAAAAACATTTTTTTGTTTGCCAAGGCAATATGCAGATGGGCGGAACGGCCCAACCCCTATCATGAATATTAAGTGGTTCTCAGACAGTGACCCTACATAATAATGAGCCTTTCATTCAGGGGTGTCACACAAGAAATAATGCAAGGACAATATATATATATATATATATATATTGTCATTGCATTCTTTCTTGTATATATATATAGCCTAAATATATATATATATATATATATATACACACACACACACACACACATATATATATATATATATATATATATATATATATATATATATATATATATATATATATATATATATACAAACAATCAAAATATAAATGAAAGCCAAAAGCACATTTTTAGTCATACCTGGAAACAAATTCTAGTCAAATGCTATATGGGCCATTCTACAGAATCTTGAAAAGAAAATAGTCTTTTTCCATAAATGTCTTATAAAGTATTATTTTTTAAAGTAGACCAATACAATAAAAATAAACCAGTCGCATTTCAAAGTCGTTCGCGAAATGACCGCCAGGTGGCGCAAAGGGACATTTATCAAAACGTAAGTGGGGCTAATGTCAATTAACAGTAAGGATGAAATTCTACAAGTTATGGTAATTTGCAAATAAGCCTACAACAAACATTTATTTTTAAACAAATATTTTTAAATATGCAACATGCACGTTTAAACAACAAACAATACAATCTGAACCAGCGCTTCTGCTCCTGTATTGAGACATGCAGCGCGTTGCAGTTACGATCCGGGTTCCAGTGGCCTTAATACATTCACGGCTTTTTAAAATGTCACAAAGCGTTTTGAGATGGTTTTGAATGAAATATTGAAGTTTATAATTAGGGTATTTTGGCACACCACGCCGAGTGGCTATGCATTATTCTAAAATCTGGCTTTATTCTGGCATGTTGAATTAGAGTTTGACAAACGCGGCGGCGGCGCGTTCATTTGGATTTATTTTTCTCATAACAGCTAAAAGAACTTACTGCGTAATTGTTGGTCATACAGATAAGATATCATCTTTTAAAACTGTAAAAGGTCTACTTTTATTCATGTAGGCTAAAGTAGGCCTACACTCACAGGCTAACGACAAAACGTTTTCTCGCTCATGACAAACAAACGTTTGGGCATTTCCTCAGTGAGAAAATTCATAGCAGAGCGGTAGAACTTACGGTTCGATCATCAAGATGACACGGGTTCAAATCCCGAACAAACATGGTCTATTGTAAATTTTATATTTATTAATGCAGAGAGATTTGTGTAGCTCTAAAACTCTGGTACACCATACAGTTTTTTGCTTATATTTATAAAATAAAATTACCATGCATTTCCATTTTACACTAAGGAACAATAGTATCCAACAGAACGACTTTGCATCTGTACCAATCGTATGAGGCCAATCGTAATTTCAAAAGCAGTTCTGTAAAAAAAGTAATTTTATATATATGGCCAATATATATATATATATATTTTATTAGGCCTATTATTATTATTTTTTTTGATTCCCTACAACCTAGAGTTTTTAAAAACATGGTTTTAAGTAAAGTGTGATTTGCCAGGGGGACGGGGATTTCCTTCTGGTCTAAACATCCCTGCTTCTGCTGAATTATTTGAATCCCCACACCCCTCCCTCCACAGTAATCAATGCTATAGGCTACTTCACCAATAGACCATATCAAATATAAAATAGAGATATGCAACAGAACAAGCACGTTTAAACAACGATAAACAATAAAATCAAAACCAGCGTTTCAGTTGTCCATAGTTCAAGTGGCCTTAATGCATGCACGGCTTTTCAAAATTTCACAAAGCGTTTTGAGATTATTTTGAATGAAATATTGAAGTTTATAATTAAGTGTTTTGGCAGACCACGCCGAGTGGCCCTATGCATTTTTCTAAAATCGGGTTTTATTCGAACTTTTGCTAACGAAAAAAGTTTATCTGTCGTCTCTGTCTCCGGGAACTGCGCGTCACAAAAATGAACCGAAAGCCACTTCAGCTCAGTCACTATAAGAAATCGGCTCTGTCTAAAGCCTTTAAATGTCTAAATATTCAGGCTAATAAATGTTATCTGATTATGTAATCCATATGAAAACGAGAGGTACAGAGGATCTACTCAAACATGTAGCCTATGTAAGCGCTTCCCAATGAGAAAATGACAAGGGTGAAAATCTCGCTCTAATGAAATGTAGCAGGCTAAATCGCCCTGAATTAAAATGTAAAAACAGATCAAATAATGTATTTGTCGAAATGTTGCGATATTGTTTCATTTAAGTTCATAATTATTCTATAGGCCTACATGTTATTTAATTTAGCAGCATTACCACGAAGCACCGTGGTTCGATATTTATTTGAATAATAAAAAAAATAATAAAAACTTAATTCACAAATTGCATGCCTGGTTGAAAGGATCCAAAGATCCCTGTAGAATTTAATATTAAGTTGAACATTTTGTTCATGACAACAAATGAACATGCGTTTTTTCAGATTATATTTAGTTTTGCTTGGAAAAAGCTGGCCCAAACCAGTTTTATTTCATCAATTATTGAAATAATGAAATATTTAGTAATAAACTTTTATGACAGAAATTTCACTAGGCTACATGTAACTTAAATCATTTAATTCCTTCATTATCAACACTGTCTAGAATAGCGATTTAAGTGTGAATTACGACTTCTCTTTGTGTTAAATCAGCCTCAGACTCCGATAGCCTGTGGGGGGTTGGGGGACAGTTCAGTGCTGTGCGCGCAGGACAATAGGCCTAGGTGTTAATGTTCCTCTTTCATATGGAGAGCGAGGGAGACTAAATAAACTTGTTAAAAAGAGATTCAGCGCGAGAGAGGCAAAGAAAAACGCATGTTTTAATTTAATTATGTTGCTTTGGACAATTTTCGTTTTGTAGGCCTACTGTTTTAATTGTTTAATGTCATTTATTTGGCAATACAAATTTAAAATGTCGCAAGAATAATATTAGCCTAGTGTTTCTTATTTTGCATCGCAAAAGAAATAAACTCTAAACCCGATGCAACCCTGTTTTAAATAAAAAAAAACACTTTATTTAAACCTTGAAATGTTCGAACTTGGTTTCAAACTTAAGTAATTTTAGTGTTCTTTTACATTACACAATAATTTAGCAGACTAAAGACGAGCTTCTTCATTTTCATTTTCTGATGCAATCGGCTGACAATCTTCCTTCATCAGTTTGTGTCCTTTGTGCAGCGGCTGCGGTTCTACTGGAATGTAGCAAATTTATGTTGTAATGATAATTAAACAAAACTCTTGACTTTAAATAAGTAAACAGTTATAAACAGTTAGCTATTTAAGCATCAAGAAGGTAAAATATAAACGCTGTTGGCCAACATCGGTTAACAACATGTATGCCACATTGAGATTCGATCTCGGGTCGATTGAAGCTCCCTGAAGCTCGTGTTGATGCGTTGATCACTGAGCCACCGTTTGTACGCTGTTAGAGTTAAAGTCTTATGCTTTTGTAAAGCTTCATTGATGTAGCCTAAATGTTTTTATTGCAATGTTTTATGTTTTCATTATTTATTCAATTTCATTTCAGTATTTCAGCCTAATTTCAGTATTGTGGTAATGAATTATTTTAACTACGTTTCACTTGTTGAATTCATCTGCTACCAGCTTTCAATCGCTCTGAATGAGCAGCAGATTACGCATTAGAGAGAATAAACGAACACTTTTCAGAGTCTATGATTGTAGCGCCTCTTAGCGGTAAAAGGTAGCAAATACACCCCACATTTTACCGCCGCGGTGGAACAGCTGATGTGGGCGTTGTCATGGCTTTCCTCTACATTTGCGTTTGAATAGCGCGCGTTCTCCGTGGGCGTGTCAGATTAACGCGTAATGAAGTGTAATGAGCTGGGGAAAAAAATTCTGACAGCACTCTCTTTTCATACAGATTACATAAACTGAGAATATTTGTTTTTTATATAAATTACTTCATTGAAAAGAAGAGAATTCAAGCTTCATAAAGAAAAATCTCTCGTGCCTGTGTGACAAGTATTTGCAGAGTTAGAGTTAATTTTTCGGACGCGTTTCAGAATGGACTGCACTGACAGAGAGAAGGCAAAACTCGCATCATGTTTATTTTTCTTCATTTGACAAAAAGCACAACACTTTGTTTTTATTGTGAGTATACAGAAAAATAATATACACTAAACAGGATCGACTGATGTATAACACTTACATGTAAGATTAAAATCAACAGAGTATTTTGAGTCTCTTTTGCACTGATAAGAAAAAAAGTCTGCCTATCGCGCCGGCGCGATAGCCGACCCCAGGGGGTTAAAACCACTAACATTAGTTACAGTAGGCAAAACATATTTTTTTGCCCTGGTGATTGACTGACTAACTGACAGACTCATTCTTTTTTTTTGTTTTAAAGCTGCACTAAGTAGGAATTCCGTTTTTGTCAAACAGCGACCCCTAGAGTCGCTGTGGGGTACTTGTACTGTCGTGAATAGCACTCACGCAGAGATGGCTCGCACTCACGGCCGGATCCCCTCCCCCTGTACACCGGTACCTGTTCAGTAGGATGGACGCTGTAACGAGTGGAAATAAGGTATGGCCCCTTTAAGAGCTGCGCGCGCCCAACACCACATGTATACGGCGCCAGGTTATTTCTGTTTGATGCTCATTTTATCAGAATTTTATCAGATCTGTTTTTTGCCGTAAAGCAATTCGTTACCTCGCGAGACCCGATATCACACGATACTTCCTAACAGTTGCAAGGGTGGTTTTGCGGCTCACAGGCACCAGGGGGGTGCGAGACGACCACCATTTAACACGAAATCAGTAATATAAACATTACAATGACTCCAAAGCTGTTCAGTTAAGGTAAAAAAGTTACTTAGTTCACCTTTAATGACGGAACTTACCGAACATACAAAAAAATGCTGTGTTCAGGGCTAAATGACCTCGTTGTACAGGTTTGTGCTTAGGAGGCTATTCCCAAACTGTGGTCCGGGGACCACTAGTGGTCCGTGAGGGTACTGCAGGTGGTTTGGGAAAGGCCTTTTTTTTTTTTTTACCTTCATTTTACCTGGAAATTCCCACAAAAAAAAATAAAAAAAAATAAAAAGAATATGTAGGCCTATATTGACATAAAATTTAAATTAAGTAGTTGAGTAAATAAATAAATGAAATATGCGGCAGCCGTTGTGTGCAGTAAACTTTCTTTTAACAAGCCTGTTGTACTGATGTGATGACCAGCTATAGTTTTAGTGCTAGTAAGCCTATTTAGAGGTGCGGATTAATTCAGCTAGGACTGTGTGTAGACATATTTTATTATGTGTATTATGAGGTGGTCCGCAAAAATTCTTGATAACAAATAGTGGTCAACACACACAAAAAGTTTGAAAACCCCTGCTTAGGTACACATGATGTTATTTTGACCAGCTAAGAGTTTATAAAATGATTAAAGGAGTCAAAACAGCATCAGGAATCCCTCCGTCACACACAAACCAAGATCTGCTGTGAGGAGACGCGGTTCTGATGCCTGAACCGAACTGTGATGGGCAACATCACGACTGTGATGAGAAAAAAACAGGTATGCTTGAGCACTCTATCCTTTTCTTGTGACATCCTGTCCTGTTTTTAGTTTGTTTACATGTCTTTGGTCCGTGTTGCACTCATATTTCATTCGAACCGCACCAGAGATTGTTTGGAAGCGGACAGAGACCCATCTTTTCAGCGTTCATTTTAATCGAACCAAACATGCCAAGTGTGAATACACCCTTAATAATTAACAAGATTATTTTTTTCCCCAACAAAAGCATTTTAAACATGTAAAATCCAATGCCGGGAGTTCTGTGCAGACTTTAGAGCTTTAGTTAACCCTGGGTCATTCTAAAAACCGTGTAAATAGGGTTATCTTGCTTCACATTTCACACTGCTCATAATTTACCTGGGGTTAACAATCAGTCCTGCGTATTCATAAACTGCTTTTTCACACTACATTCCTAAACTCTGGGTTAATGTTCTCATTTGCATATTTGCCGTTTCATTGTCATTGATTGGATGAACGCCGCACGAGACCTGTTTATATAAAGGTTCTGACATTGTGCATCCTCATATTATTTATTGCCAACTGTGTGTATTATCAAGATTATCCTGAATGGAGTGAAATACAATAGTCAACATTTGAAGTGGATCAAAAAAGTTCATCAAAGTAGTCCTAAGACAAGAACTGGTATTGTTCAAAATTCATGTATACACTTTGATGAAAGGTTTTGATCCACTTCAAATGTTGACTACTATAGTAAGAATGCAACGGTCTCTTCTTCACTCCAATTTTATGTCACCATATGACATTTATCCCCTCAAACGCTGGAACTACCGTTTACTCAATGCTCAGCATTTCCATGACAGTCCAAAACAAATGAATATGAGACACGTGATTGGCTCCCGGTTGCTAAGCATCGTAACATTCTAACACCACTTTGGCACCACAATAACAGCACAAAAGTGCTGAGCAGGGTTTTATAACCCCGGGGAAAAAGTGGTGCTAATCCCACTTCTAAATGACAAGTGTGAAAAGTACAAGAGGTTAAAAAAAGAGGGGTTTAGAACGACAATAATCTGGGGATAAGGGCAGCGTGAAAAGCCCTTTTGAGTAAGAACACATGAATTATATAATGGCTTAATGCCAAGAGCCCAACTATATAAACAAAAAAAGAATGAAAAAGAAATATTTAAAACTAACAAACAAATAAATAAAGGGATTTTTACATTACTAGACCCCACACACACCAGTGATTTGGCCACTATGACCTGGAATCAGACCTGTACTGTTTTTGTAGATTTACTCCATGAACAACCCAAGAGTGTAGAGCGTGTGTCTCTTACATTCGTCCACGCAGTGCTTTGGCTTTCTGCTCCAGCTCAGGGTTTCTGGGTGGCAAGGGGCTTTGTTCCGCTGGGTTCACGGAGCTGAATCCTGGGTATGATCCTGGCTCCAGCGTCTACAGAAAAACACAAATACAAGAGACTCCAGTCAGTTTGACAGTCAGTATATGGAAATGCAAGGCCTGATGTGGGAGAACAAACACAGCAATTGAATGGTTTTTGTATGACACGGCCCTAAACTTCATCACCATCAGAGCTGCTCAAGAGATTCAGAGGGGAGAAAAGCACCACTCCGGCCCACAGAGTGAGACATGATATCCAGCACTTTGGCAAGTTTGGAAGACTTATTACTTCATTACCACAAAAAAAAAAAAAAGCTGCTCATGCCAGCCTTCTAGTTTTCTGCCGCGGCCTCAGAAGACAAAGTAGTTCAGCGCGGCGGCTACACGTCATGTTGTAAATGAGATGATAATATTCCGATCAGAGCGGTCAGACTGAAACGGATTTCCAGATATGCGATTTGCATAGGATTTTTTAAACCACATATTTTTTTTTAGAATACCTCTAAAACAGGTTCCAGATCAAGTTCTGGAGGTGCTCGATCCACATTTGTGCTGTGGAACAAATTCAAGGAATAACTTGAGTGCAAAACAAGTAAAGCTCAAATCAATAGCATTTGTGACATAATGGGTGACCAAATTTTTTGTAACATATCCCTCACGCTTTTTTTTTTTTTAAATAGCTTAAGTAACTTAGGTACTTAGATGAAAGTGAATGAGGTACATTAAAAAAAAAAGAAAGAAAAGTAGTTACATTAAATCTTCTGATAAACCTTGTGTATTATTGGAGCTGTAAAGCTGTTTTAGGACAACAAAGTTGTAAAATTGGATATGGCTTAACTTTACACAGAAGCTTAGTAAAGTCATTCCCCCCACACACTAAAATCATGTAAAAAAACATTAGTTACAGTAGGTAAAACTTATTTTTTTGCCCTGGTGATTGACCGACTAACTGACAGACTCATTCTTTTTTTTCGTTTTAATGACGGAACTTACCGAACATACAAAACAATGCTGTGTTTTGTATGTTCGGTAATCACCTAATCACCTAAAGGATTATTAGGAACACCTGTTCAATTTCTCATTAATGCAATTATCTAATCAACCAATCACATGGCAGTTGCTTCAATGCATTTAGGGGTGTGGTCCTGGTCAAGACAATCTCCTGAACTCCAAACTGAATGTCAGAATGGGAAAGAAAGGTGATTTAAGCAATTTTGAGCGTGGCATGGTTGTTGGTGCCAGGCGGGCCGGTCTGAGTATTTCACAATCTGCTCAGTTACTGGGATTTTCACGCACAACCTTTTCTAGGGTTTACAAAGAATGGTGTGAAAAGGGAAAAACATCCAGTATGCGGCAGTCCTGTGGGCGAAAATGCCTTGTTGATGCTAGAGGTCAGAGGAGAATGGGCCGACTGATTCAAGCTGATAGAAGAGCAACTTTGACTGAAATAACCACTCGTTACAACCGAGGTATGCAGCAAAGCATTTGTGAAGCCACAACACGCACAACCTTGAGGCGGATGGGCTACAACAGCAGAAGACCCCACCGGGTACCACTCATCTCCACTACAAATAGGAAAAAGAGGCTACAATTTGCAAGAGCTCACCAAAATTGGACAGTTGAAGACTGGAAAAATGTTGCCTGGTCTGATGAGTCTCGATTTCTGTTGAGACATTCAGATGGTAGAGTCAGAATTTGGCGTAAACAGAATGAGAACATGGATCCATCATGCCTTGTTACCACTGTGCAGGCTGGTGGTGGTGGTGTAATGGTGTGGGGGATGTTTTCTTGGCACACTTTAGGCCCCTTAGTGCCAATTGGGCATCGTTTAAATGCCACGGCCTACCTGAGCATTGTTTCTGACCATGTCCATCCCTTTATGGCCACCATGTACCCATCCTCTGATGGCTACTTCGAGCAGGATAATGCACCATGCCACAAAGCTCGAATGATTTCAAATTGGTTTCTTGAACATGACAATGAGTTCACTGTACTAAAATGGCCCCCACAGTCACCAGATCTCAACCCAATAGAGCATCTCTTACCCCTTTTCCACCAAGGCAGAGCTGGTACTGGTTCGGAGCCAGAGCCTAGTTTCAAATCGGTTCTTTGTTTTTCGACCACCAAAGCACCAGCTCCGAACCAGTAAAAGTGGTTCTTAAGTAGCACCAAATCATTGCTGGTCTAGAAGTAAGAACCGCTTACGTCAGCGGCTGGGGGCGGGGTTACCGTGACCAACAAGACGAACAGAAACTTGTGACCGCCATTTTTTAAATAGCAGCTAATCATGCTAATAGCAGCTTGATTGTAATCTCCGTTAAAGCAAGTTACGGCGAGCTGCACAAATGTGCTGGATTCCCCGTGTTTGAATACCGATGTAGGTTTGCAAAGCCATGAGTAACGCAACGACCGGCATTGTTGATGGAAGGCTTGTTCGAGATGCATCGGAGCGGCGTGGACTGATCGGAGCTGCGGGAGTGTTTGGACAGCATACGACTCCTTCTGCTTTTGGATCGCTCTCGCAGTTCGAGATTCGCAGTGCCAAACCATCTTGAACAAGCCTGGTGTGTTTGTGTGTGCCGGGCTAGTGTTGCTGGGCAACATGAGATGTATACAGTGACGTAAGATCTAGCTCTGTGATGGCTCTCTAGCCTGTGGAAAGGCAAACCGGTTCTTTGAAAGCTCGTCAGTCGAACCAACTCCGAACCAGCACTAGCTCTAGCTCTGAACCAGCACCTGGTTCTTGTTGGTGGAAAAGGGGTATTTGGGATGTGGTGGAACGGGAGCTTCGTGCCCTGGATGTGCATCCCACAAATCTCCATCAACTGCAAGATGCTGTCCTATCAATATGGGCCAACATTTCTAAAGAATGCTTTCAGGACCTTGTTGAATCAATGCTACGTAGAATTAAGGCAGTTCTGAAGGCGAAAGGGGGTCAAACACAGTATTAGTATGGTGTTCCTAATAATCATTTAGGTGAGTGTATATTAAACTAAGTATTTTAACATTAATGGATTGGCTCCATTCACTTAAATAGTAAGTGCATTAAAAATACAGATTTTAGCTGCTTTAAAAGAAAAAGAGGAACAAGTTGAAATACATTTTTTGCAGTAAATAAATCAACAAGATGCCACCAATGCTGTCGACTGAGCTTAACTTGTACTGAACTAGGAATATTCCCTGATAAAAATAACTAAAAACATACATGTATGGAAAAATAATATAATCTAATAATCTCATATAGCCTAACATGTGATCCAACCAAACCCTAATGTGATTTCTCTCTACGCCCGTTTCAGAATCCATTGGAAAGTAAGGACATTTTATACATACAGCAGCTTTAATGGGAACTGAATCTTTGAGTAGATCAAACTGATGTCCAATGACAGAAACATGCGCTTAAACACAATGACAGCACAGCACAGATTAGCATGGTAACAACCAAACCAAACGAGGTCAAGTGCAGAAATGTGAAGAAATATTACAACAATAGACAGAGCCACACAAACCAAAAGACACATTTCAGCACATTCACGTGTTATTGGTGCATGTGAGACTAATACAGATGATTTCAGTAGTGAAACTCAAGAGTTAGTGATTGTCTTAGAGCAAGAGAAAACAGAAAGGAAACGAGGAAAACCAGGAGGTTAGCGGATCGAATCATCCTGCTTGTGCCAGGATGGGTTCAGTGCATGGGACACTTACCATCTTAGTTTTGACCAGTTTCTCTATAGCACTGACAAGTTCAGCAGCACTGGGGATATCAGCCGAGCTCTGCCGGGAAGCCATCAGCACAGAAGACTACAGGACAGCAGGACAGGAGGACAGGAGGAGAGAGACATTAGCAGGAGGAAGCAACACAGGCAGAACAGAAGAGGAAGTGCTCAGGATAGCCAGTTTATCAAGAGAAGAGTAGCAAAGTGCCAATCTCACACCCGAACATGCCAAACATTTCACCCCCAAGTCAAAAGGGAACACAAAATATTAGATTTTGCTTTAAGAAAACGAGGCCTACTTTTATGACCATTATAATTGTTCCATGGTGACATTCTTTTCAGGACAATCAATAGATTTTCTTGCAATTTAAATGAACCGTTTTCTATTGTAATATATTTTAAACTGTAATTTATTCCTGTGATCAAAGCTGAATTTTCAGCATCATTTCTCCAGTCTTCAGTGTCACACGATCCTTCAGAAATCATTCTAATATGATGATTTGATGCCCAAGAAACATTTCTTGTTACGAGTTTATTATATTATTCCTTATTATTACTGCTGAAAACAGTTTTGCTGCTTAATATTTTTGTGGATTCTTTGACGAATACAAAGTTCAACAGCATTTATTTGAAATAAATAATCTTAAATGTCTTTACTGTAACTTTTGTTACATTTAATGCAAACTTTCTATAAAAATGATGATTTCTGAAATGAAAAAAAAAATACTGACCCCAAAACTTAAAGCTAAAAACTTAAATTAATGGATTATAGTACAGATAATCTCAAAATAATAATAATAATAGTGCTTAATTGTCATAATAATCAATGTTACAATGGATAATAATAATCTCACAAGGCAATTTTTTTTTTTAAAAGTCCAGTTTCTTTATGATTTTTTTTCTCCCCCTTTTGGTTTTAGGGGTGGAAAAGGCATGAACATGTTATTTGTGAGATTCACCCTGTCAGCCAGCTTTGAGTCGTAAACGCATTACTACTGCAGTCCCAGGGCACAGCGTGTAAAACAGCCACAGTTGACTGGGACAGTAAAAGTTTCACAACTACATCATTTAAGCTTCATTGCAACAATAGGGTGGATTTGTGGTTAGTTGACTGAGACAAGGAGCCTCCACCCGAGCAGTTATGGGCGACGTTCACAACAGGGAGGAAAAACTGTGAAAACATTTTGTGTGTATGTGTGTGTGTGTGTGTGTGTGTGTGTGTGTGTGTGAATATGGGAGAGGCAGGTGGAGATAGTTATGAACACATGATGAGTGACACAGTATTTAATGAATCTACCTCAACGTTAAAGGGTTAGTTCACACAAAAATTACTCACCCACCCAGTAATTACTCGAAATTACTTCATGTCGTTCCAAACCAGTAAGACTTTCATTCATCTTCGGAACAAAAATCTTTATAATGAAATCTGAAAGATTTCTATCCTTCCATTGACAGCTATGCAACTACCACTTTGACGCTTCAAAAAAGAGATTGAAATTTTAAAAAAATGAACGGTTTAGTACAAATCGATCGCTTTATATGATGAACAGATTTAATTGAGCCTTTTATTCACATATAAACATTCATCAACTTACTATAGTTGTGGTAAACGGAAGCTCACATGGAAGAACCAATGAGGTTCATTCTCGTGTTACGCATCACGTTTGAGCTTCAGCAAGAACCAATGAGGTTCATTCTCGTGTTACGCATCATGTTTGATCTTCAGCAATAACCAATGAGGTTCATTCTCGTGTTACGCATCACGTTTGAGCTTCAGCAAGAACCAATGTGAATAAAAGCCTAAATTCAATCTGTTCATCATATTAAGTGATCTATTCTCTTCAGAAAATTTGGATTAAACCCCCTCAATTCATATGGATTAGTTTTACAATCTCTTTTATGATCTGAACTTTTTGAAGTATCAAAGTGGTAGTTGGTTTGGACTGTCAAAGGAGGGCCAGAAATCATTCAGATGTCATGTAAAATTATCCTCATTTCCGTTTTGAAGGCAAACCAAAGTCTTAAGGATTTGGAAGTCACGAGGTTGAGTAATTGATGACTGATTTTATTTTTCATTTTTGGGTGAACTAACCCTTTAATAACCTATGACATCACTCTCTTCAAGCTCCTCCCCCTCTTTACTGTTAGTGTACCTTCTCTTCTTGAGCAGAGGGGTCTTTGATGATCTCCATTGGAGGAGGGAGGGGAGTGTGTGACTCGTCCTCTGGCTCTTCCTCCCCTCCACTGTGCATTCCTGAGGAAGATTTGGAGAGTGTTCCCTCTTCTTTACGCACTCTCTGCAAACACAAGAACAAGTCATTAAGCAAGTTAGTAGTGCATGTTAAAAGTTCTCAGACACCACAGTTAAATTCTGTGCATCACCTTGTGGAAAAGAAGTGTGGTTAAATGTATTCAATGTGCAATTGTAGTGTACTTAAAAGTATATTTAAAAAAAACTATTGCACAATATTAAAGAAAAGGCATGTTATTTTATATTACATTAATAGCTAATATATTTTAAATGTACAAATACATTATCACGAATGTGTAATTACAAATATATTTAAGGTAGATGGCATAAGTTTCAACAGAAATTAAAGGATATTTTAATTGACCATAAATGCTTGTCAGTATATTCGGCATACACTTTAACCATATTTTAAAGACAACAGAAGTAATTAAATGGCGTATAAAGATGTACTTTAAGTCCTATTACTTGGGTCAAACAAATGAATTGTAAATAACATGCATTTAAGTGCTCGAAACATTACATTCAGTTCACACTTAAGTATATATATATATTTTTAAAGTATGCTAAAATGTACTTTTAAACAATCAAATGGTCAACCATTTACAGAAATGTATTTGATTGTCAAAGAGTAGAGTGGCTAATTTACTACAGTACTAATATATGTAACTTGCTAGACAATTGTCAGACATGAATTATAAATCAAACTGTACAAATTGAGGAGATCTGTGCTATGATTATAAGTGATGAATAATATAAAACCTCCAAGACCATGTGTTGTGGCACAGAGTTTTGCATAGGTAAGCACCCCTTAAAATCTAGTTTATAGAACACTCATTGATAGTTGTTACTTTACAGTATATATTGAACACTGGTGGTGTCATATTACTGAAATTGTATTAAAAAAAAAAACATAAACAACACGTATTGTAATGGCAATGAATTGCAGTGATATTATCACCTAACAAAACGCCTGGCAAAACCTTTTAACTGTGATGAAATCACCGTAACACACAGCCTCAAGTGGTTTATTGCTTTATTATTTGGCTTCTATTGCACAAGTTTAAATGCTCTGAAACGATTGTTGAAGAATTTGCTGTTGCTCTGGAAGACAGCAGGCATGGTTAACATGGGCCATTGTGGTGGGGTTCACATACCCTGCTTCAGAAATACAGAGGCCCTTTTGTACCAGACACTATATGGCACACAGCTTTAAAAAGTCAGGCTAATCATCACCCTCTGATCTGAAGGGCCATATCAGCCCTTTAATACAGCGTTTATACAGCACACAGAACAAGAGGGCTACTTTTCTCTCTATGGTCATGGTTGCTTAAAAAAAAGAAAAAGTGATGAGGTTATTAAACACTCTGACGTAAAACTGCTGTCCACGGTCACCACATGCTGTCAGATGAGATGTAAAATATCCTCAATAAACCTTGTTTTGGGGAATTCTTATGACAATGTAAAAATATTCTGAAAATAAACAAATGTAAATGGCGAAACTAAAAGGCGAAAAAGGATAGAAGAAATGTTCTGGTCTGAATGTGTGAGAACTAGAGAACAAAAAAAACCCAGTATAAATCATTGTATTTCAGAGAGTACTTAGCATTATGGTTTTGTGGACATACTGTATAGCCTACCATTGTAATAGATTAAAGTATTGTTTAAAGTACCTTGGAATACCATGGTATAAAAATATGGTAATCATTTTTGACCATAGTATCACTATTTCACCCAATCAGATGGATCTACGGTTTTCCTCAATGTAGTGTGAAAAATGAATAATTTACAGTACAATACCTCTTCCAGGGTGTCATCCTGTAGTTCAGGTGGCCCCAGATCAATGCTCTTGCGTCCATCACGTTTCTGCTTCTGTTTGCTAGGAATCTTCTTGATGTTGCTGCCATGACTGAGACGCCGGACGGGGCTGGTCAACCATTTCTTCAGTGTATTCCCAGAGCGCTTGGGTCCAGGGGAGCTACTCTGCAGGGAGTTCAGGGATGGCTGTGGCTGCAGTGTGGTCACGGACTCGGTCTTCCCTTCAGGACCGCCAACTGCATAGTTTTCTGTAGGACGAAGAGAGAAAAGGGTGAATGAATGTAACGATCACGACAGGTGAAGATCAGACCTAAAATAATGGTTAAATACAACTTAAAGGTTAAGCGTATAATTTCTGCATCACTAAATGGAATTAAACACTCAAACACTGGATTCTCAAACACTCCACCCATCAGCCAAATGGTAAAAAAATAGACAGTCCCAACCTCACACCTCTGGTTGACGCACTGGGATACTTAAACAAAAAAAAGCAACAGCGTTTACACTTTTCAGGGAACTTACACAATATGGACAGGCATGCTGTTGGTTACCACAGACAATATTCCACAGACTTGCCCCTCAGAAAAAAAAAAAACTTAAAATACATTTACAGTCATGTACTTACAATGGAAGTCTAACAGACTTCACGTTCTTTAGTAAACATGTTTATTGTTTGAGTTGTTAAATTGTTAATTGTCGTTTTGTGGTGGGACTACTTTTCTAGGTGGGGGAACTTCTTATGCATTCCTGATGTTAAGTTGGTCATATGTCATTAACACATCACTCCTCGCTGGTACTTTCTTCACCACATTTAATCAGGCTTGGGTATCCCCACCCCAATAATTCATACATACTACACATATGGAAAATTGGTCTCCTCCCATTCCCATTCAAAAACACTTGAACGAGTTTAATCACTTCTCATACAGTATTTCCTTCTCACAGAAAAAAAAAAAGCTCAACAATTAGTCAGGCTGAAAAAGAGGACATTGAATGGAGACTTGCGATTCATAACTGAAGCTCTGTTGTTGGCGAGAGCTGCCTCCAAATCATCAGTTCTCAATCTCCTAGCCTTCGACACCAGACCACCAGATACTCATGTGTATTATCTTGACTCTTGGCTACTTGGAAGCGGCACTCCACTGGTTTTGACAACGATCTGTAGATCATTCTCTTCTCTCCTATCTTGATCTAAAACTAGATCTTTCAACTTACAACTTTCCAGAGGGGTGCCTCAGGGTTCGGTGTTTGGCCCTCTTCTCTTCTCAATATGCACAGCAATATCATCCAAATTTTATTTCTGTAGTAATTAAAATCAGGTCAAAGATGCTGTCCACAAAGCTAAAAAACAACAACATTCCTGACCAACTGGATACCAGATATCACAATTCACAGGAAATAATGACAGACATCCATAGAGCTTCACAGTACTGCTATTCTCTTCTGATGTAACTACACACTCAAAGATATTGATCACCTGCCACAAATGCAAACCACACACACCTAACAAAGTTAATATTCTTCTTGTGTAGAAACTCAAACAGACTTGACACAGACTATTAGACAAAGCACATTACATCTAACTCTTTGACCTTGTAAGCAAGTTAAACGATATTGCTATATCATAAAAAATGAATTGTGGATTATTGTAACATAAATAGCCTTTTCTGCTGTGTTATGCTGAGCGTGTGGGTTAGACGATTTGATTGGTAATGACTGAATCATAATAATAATGATTCACACCAAGTTCATTTTCGTAAATTCTTTTCTAACCATGCTCGGAAAACAACAATTTACAGTACACACTGTGACACTTACAATTAGGTACACATCTAATATTAGCAGATTTTTAATATTAGCAGCGCTGTAACAGAGGTTAAAATTTCAAACAATTTTGCATTATATATCTCATTGAGGCATCACTGAACATGTTCTATGTGTTTTTTCTCTTTTGCACTTACAGACCCTGATTCATGATAAGATCATCAAGTAAAATGACCAGCATAAGAACTTGTTCTCCAAGTGTCCTGTGTGTTGATAACATCTGTGTGTGTTGACAACGGGCTTTAATGGCTGACTTATTAGAGGAAGTGACCTTGTTAGAATTGATGATAAAGACTGTGACGAAAACATAAACGCATCTCTCCTAAAGCACACCGATACTGCAGAAATCACAGCAGTCTAAACTGAGCATCGAACTGAAACTGAGTCTTGAAACAGCTCTTTGACAGAACCAACGCTGTTCTTCACACATACACACTGTTCTGTGTTTGTCTGGCCTGGTCTGACGGTACACGTGTAAGCCGTTCATGAGAACCAGCCATCACAGGAGTGTGTTTGGAGTTTCACAGCGTGTGATGGAGTGTGTCCCTGTCGAGTGCTTTTTGAAGAGCGAACCTGCGTAACAAACAGACTGACTGACGACAGCGTAGTCTTGTGTGTGAGTGTTTGTGTGTGGAGTGAAGAGATGGTTTGATGAGAGCAGGCATTAAGCATTGCCCTTTACACACAGTCGTGCACACACACACACACACACACACACACACACACACACTTCTCCCGCTGCAGCCTCAGTTGGCCCGCAGAGAGAGAGACAGACAGAGAGAGTTCTTTGTTCTTTTAAGTGGTCACATCAGAAAGCAGCATCTGGATCATATGACTTATTTTACTACAAACCAAAACTAACTTGAATGTTAAAATTTGACAGGTGAAAGGTGATGCATACATCTAATAAGTTAAAAAAAAAAGCCCTTATATAGGTAAAAATGCCCCTGGAAATCAATTTAAGGTGGCAAATATTGCAAACATTAAAAAAAAGTTCATTTCTGTATATGCTGTGGTCAGTTCACAGCTTTGAGAATATGAATGATCTGAATATCTTCGTGAGTCAGCCTTCCACAACAGGCCTAAACCAGCCATGGCACCAGCACAAAAACACACTCAGCAAAATATCATTGAATTATTGTTATCAACAAAACTTTGAAAATATCGAGATATAATTGGTCAATATTGCACACCCCCAATGTAAAGCATTCATTTTTATTTCTTCAGGTCTTAAATGTGTTTTAAAAATGTTACTTTAAAAAATGTGCAGCAACCCTGATAAAAATAAAATAAAAAAATGCACAAGTTGTGAATACATTTTGACTTCTTGTGTGTAACTCTCCAGCTGGCTGGCTGCAATATTACATGGTTAACATATCATAAGCATAAGTCTGACCCGCACTGATGAAAGTGACCTGAACAATTCAAACGGAAGAAATACATGCTCTTTCCTCTCTTTTCTTCTAAAACTTAATCAAACACATGGATCACAAAACCAGTCACAAGTCGCACGGGTATATTTGTGGCAATAGCCAACAATACATTGTATGGGTCAAAATGATCGATTTTTCTTTTATGCCAAAAATCATTAGGATCATGTTCCATGATGATATTTAGTAAATTTCCTACCGTAAATATATATAACATTTATTTGTGAGTGAATGCAGCACAATCGCGAACATAAATGGACAACTTTAAAGGCAATTTTCTCAATGTTTCGATTTTTTTGCACCCTCAGATTCCAGATTTACAAATAGTTGTATCTCGGCCAAATATTGTCCTGCCCTAATAAACCATACATCAATGGAAAGCGTATTTATTCAACTTTCAGACGTCGTATACATCTCAATTTCAAAAAATTGACCCATGTGACTGGTTTTGAGGTCCAGGGTCACATATATGAAATATTTCTTGCATTAAGCCACCAAAAAAACTAAAATATGAGGAAGAGCACAATGTCTCTTTACGGTTTTGTGAGAAATGCGGTTTCATTCAGAGGCAATATGACTCACGGGTTTGTGTGATGTCGCGATATGCAAGTTGTTTTCTCTGAATGTCTGACAGTAGAGAATGTTTTCCAGATGATTATCTATAATGTTTAATCATAATAAATGACTAAAAATATGCAATGTTAGCGACAAAACACTGCTGACATTTATAAATCACCAACTGTGACATCACTTCCTTCATGTTGTGTGTTTGTTACACACAGGTAACTTCACTGGCCTATTGAAACTCATTCCAGTGGATCTGTGCAGTAAAAATACCACACATGGCTTCTTTTGAGCGTTCGGGTGGCGCAGCAACTCCTCTGAAAGACACAGCGAGGCGAAAACGTCCCTAAAAGTTTTAACCCTTGTGTTCTGTTCGATTTCTGTGTACACCCCTTATGGACCGGGTCAAATTGACCCTAATTGGATTCAATACAATTCCTCAAAAATCACACTATGAAAAACGACAAAGATTTAGATACAAACTGTAAACTTTTAATATCAACATTTGTCAAACATTACAAAAACATTATATCTGAAAATATGATTTATGAAAATGTTTTTAAAACATTTTTTAAAACAGTTTTGTTTTGACAAAATTGGAAACTAAACAGTATACTGATTTTTTTTGCATATATTTTTTTAACTTTTTTTTTTATTTTATTTTTACATTTTATGCTTTGAACATCGTAACTGAACAAAAAAAAATTGCTGTATAATGAAATTTTTTCATTTTCCTAAGTTAACTTTCCCTAGTTTCCTAAGACCTATTTTCCTAGTTTCATTATTCACTCACTGGGAAGTGAGAAACCAAACATAACAAAAACATACATCAAATAAATGTTTTTTATTTATTTTTTGGCTCTGTGAAGCTGCCTTTGAAAATCCTACATAAAAATTTTTGGTTAAAAGCTAGGTATTTTAGATATTTTAAATATTGAAATGAGAGCTTATTTTACTATCTGTGTCTGACAAAGATTTTCATCTGTAATTTGCAAATAATTCTGAACACTGTAATTTTAGCTTGACAGATGCACTTGCACGTTAGAACTGGAGTTGAAGTGCCCTGACATACAGAAAATAAATGTTTTTATTTTGTGTCTGTACAGTTGTTTTTTAATGGCTGTCTATGAGGGTCAAATTGACCCGCGAACATCACGAACGTAACAGTAATTTTGTTTGTATATGTCAAAACACATCAGCATGTTGAAACTTTGCATGCATGTTCATCATGATAAATGAGAAAAAGTCACAAAATATCAAGAAAAAAAAACAAAGGTTAACCAGTATTTCCAACAACTTGAAAATCGAAACGGGTCAAATTGACCCGCAACATAACACAAGGGTTAAACACTTGACAGTTGATTCACACTAGTGTTACCATTTAAAACCAGTGCTCATAAACTTAAAATAAGTGATACGTGCTTTGATAT